TAATTGCAAACAATGAATTTCCTAATCGAGAAAACAATCTGCAGAGTTGCGGCTCTGATTTTACATTTTCAGCAGCAACAGCAGTTTGAGAAATGAATGAATGAAAAATTAAGCAGCGTTAGAGTAGATATTCATCATCAGGAGCTATAACCATCATGCCTGAACAAGCATAGGAAAAAGCACTACATGATTCAGATACACAGATTCAGTTGTTTTCCTCATTAAATACTACATATGACGTCCTGGCTAACCCACTACATTTATTGCCATCTCTCATTCAGTACTTTTGGGGTTTTGAAAAACATTAAAGACATCAAGACATATAAGCATCTACAGCACTTGCAAAGACAGCAATTAATTAAAAGTTAAACAATCAACTCCATGAAAACAAGGCAGCGTAGTTTATTCCATATCCATTATATTCATAAGGATCTATATTAATGTAATTTTCAGCTGTAATCTGAAATCTACACATACATATTAAATAAACAACGTCTCTTTTTTATTATTAGAAAAGGTTAATGTGATTTTGTAGGAGGTTTTCCTGGAACAGAACCCTGAAGTGTCTCTATTATCTAGTATCTCTATTGCTAAATGGCATTATGCATGTCACCCGTGTGCATGGCCTTTCACCCTCTGTATCACAACCTCCTTCTCCTCACATTGGCCTCTGCGCTGATGTCCCAGCATTCCTGCGTTGTGGCTCAGGGCCAAAGTGCCTCTGCAGACAGATAGCAGACTATCTGCTGCTATGCTGTCACATTATTTTATCCAGCATCACTGATGCAAAGTAGGTTAAAGGCAGGCAGCGCCCGGTCAGCTGCAACATCTGTGCATATGCTGTTATACATCACACTTCCGCTCTAACAGACTCAGGCTTAAAGAGCGGCGGGGAGGGCGAGTTTGTGGGATTAGTGCCAGCTGGCCTTGGTGTGTATGGGCTCATGTGCAATTCTATCCGCACGTCTGTCTGTCTGTATGAGTGACCCAGGCTTTAATGCAGTGCATGTCATCGTCTACAGTTAGAGGGATTGGGAGCGGCGGGTTTCAGATTAGAGTCTGGATCCAGAAGAAGTTCCCCTTGCTTTCCTTCTTCTTTGCATGTCTCCCAGTGTGCTGCAGGGCCAACCAGAGTAACAGGGTTATCTTTTTTTAAAGCTCACCCACTTTAAAAGACATTAAAGCGGGTAAAGTCGCCAGTTTAAAGCCAGTAGATCTGGACAAATCCTCTCTCACTCATACGAGTCAGTGAAAACTGGGACCGCAGCCAGTGTTAAGTGAGCGTGGGATTTTCACTCTGAGCTCCATGTGCTCCAAGTACCTCGCTGCTTTTCCTGTGCAACTGGTATAAATGGATGGATACTGGTCTCAGGGAAGTCCTTGAATCAGTTCTGAAGGCCTGATAATTGATTTTTTTTTTTTATCTGTGTCTGTCCTTTCTAACAAATGGCTTAAACATGAAACTTAAGGTTGACGTAGGTGGTGCGTGCCAAAGCATCCCAGCATTAGTTTAAATGCCATCAAAGCCTCTAGTTTCAGTGGGTGGCCAGGGACAGTTGTTAGTTTTGGGTGTGAAGAGCAGCAGGGGATTTTCTCCTAAAAGTAGATTTTGAGGGATTTTGTTTTTAGGGGAGAATTACTAGAGCCCCTTGTTCTGTGGTGCACATGTTTAAACCCTTTGGACCCTCTCAACCCCACCGCTAAATACGCTGGATTTCTGAGCTTTTATATAGCAGATTTCTTTTAGAAGTCTCAGAGGTTAAAATGGGCTTCAAGTCTAGTTTTTTATTGAAATCAGTGTCTCACCAACTGCAGCTACCCCACCATTGGACAATCTGACCCTAGGAGTCAGGACTATTGTCTACAATGAAGCACTGACTCACGGCGTAATTGATTTTAATAGATTATCATTCAAGCGTGGCTATGTTTGGTTTGAGCCAATATGGAGGCAACAACCAGCCTTGACTCCCTCTGTGCTTGCTTAAGACACTAAACTAATTTCCTGAAAGACTCATAAAAGGTCACAGGGGGAACTGTTAATAATGTAATTGGTGGGCCACCTCTGTAGAGGAGACCCCCACCACTAAACGAGATTATCCACTGGAACAGAGCCATTTGGACTGGTTTTATAGTCCCCTCTGTTATCACATGTGGTTGGAAAGACATATATTCCAGTATATCCAGTAAAACAGATCTGGATTGGAGGATAATGGTGGTAGGATTTTATTAAAGGGAGCATCCTCTTCTTTTCATTAGATTAGATAATGACTCAAGATTGTAATCATGCACATTGTTGCAGCCAGTGGATATCTCCATTAGCTAATGCACAGCCTCAGGCAAATGGAAAACATGGAGCTGTGGCACAGTTCCTTCCTCTGAGCGACATATTCAGAAAGACGAAACAAGAATGCAAATATTAGAGCTGCAGCTAATGATTTTTTTCTGTCATTGAAGAATTATTTTCTCCACTATCATTAATGTTTAGGTCTACTAAATTCGATTAGCTTGTTTTGTCTAAACGACAGCTCAAAACCAAAAGGTATTCAGTTTATCATAGAAGACAAAACACATTTATACATTTGAGATGTATTTGTTTGAGTCTACAGCCATGCTAGCACTTGAGCTAAATGCTAACGTCAGTATTTTAACATGCTAACCTGCTGATGTTTAGCAGGCAATATTTATCATGCCAGTTTAGCATGAAAGCATTGTAAAATATGCTAATTAGCACTACACATGTAAACACACAGTACAGCTGAGGCTGATGGGAATTACAAACTTTTCTTTGGACCTGATGATCAGTGGTTCTCACCCTGGGCTCTGGTGTCTTCCAGGGGTACTTGAGAGTGTTCCAGACAGTCCCCAAAAAATATATTATAATTTCACTATTATTTAATTGACTAGAAGTTAGCCCAATGAGAGAATGTATAAGAAAGAGTTTTATGTTCATAGGTTTCACACTATTATGGGATAACTATCTTACTATCTTATCATGCGAGGATCTCTTAGACTACATCTTATCAAATACTGGTCTTTGGTCTGATGTGTATCAATTAGTGGGTCCTTGACATCAGAATGGTTGAGAATCAATGCTTTAGATGATGTTTCAACTCTGCAAAATATAGTTTGTGTGCAAACTCTTGTCTAACACCAATTAATGAATGAATTAATAATTCATGTGCTTAAACCTCAGGCCATTTAGTAACTGTGTGGTCCCTCGGCTTTATTAAAACTGGAACAGTGCAGTAGCAGTAACAACGTTTTGAAGTTTGAACTGTTGACCTCAAATTATGGTGTCTCCTCAGGCCAATCACTTTTTGTAGTAACCATCAAAACACAGGCAGTAATTGGATCAGCCCCCCAGGCTTTGTCAAAATGTGACTGTGTGGTTGTATCTGAGTCAAACATTTTGACATTTCATATTAATGCCCTCAGTAGCCCAACCAGTTAAAAGGGACAGTTCCACATTTTGGAAGAGTGGTATTAATCTTCTCATCTGATCAAGAAAACAAAAACGAGTGTTTCCCAGAAGGTCGAACTGATACTTAAAGTTTTAACTTTCCCCCAGGTTAACTTTTCCTGAGATGTCCTGTGGGACACATGGACAGTTAATTTAACCTTTATTATTATTATTTTTTTAATACAGGCTCCTCCCTAATTAAATATTAAATAATTAAAGGCAAGTACAAGATTAAAGAATTGTGTAAAACCGTGAAACTTTTTAAGAGCACTAATTGGACAGCCGCAGTCACAGTGCTCACATTTGTGTTGCATAAGTGCTGCGAGGTTGCTGTAGGTTAGCAACGCTAATTAACGTCTTTATTGTCATACTTTCACTCATTGTGCCTTTATATCCTCTCTCTTGTCTATTAAAAACATGGCCCCACAAAGGAATTCCCTCAGCTGTTTCTGCTGCTGTTTACCTGACCCTCATCACGGTGCTTCAGGATTAAACGACTAGGTTAGGAAGCGCTTTTTGTCTCACTGTTAACGTGCATACCATCTACAACAATACTTGGCTCCTCTGAACGCAACTCTTTTACAAGCTGTTGAATTAAAAGTGGGCTGAATGCTTCCTCTTGAGCCCAGTGACCTTGTTTTGTTTTAATTGGTGCTGCTTCTCACCTGCGAGGGAAAAGTGATTTTTTTTTTAATGATTTTTATATCTCTCCTTTAGCAAAATGTGGACACAAAGCTGTGGCTGTGATATTAGCGGTGCCATTTTCCTGTTGAGAGATTTGCGTTTTCTGCCTCTAAGCTGGCTTAATAAAGCAAGATTGCACAGGGTCTCTGTGCTTCAGAAAGGATGAAGAAAATTGAGAAAAAAAATGTGCGTGGGTGAGAATGAAACGGAGAGAGAGAGAAGAGGGATAAAAGATTGAAAAACAAGATTGAGGCATAAATACAAGAGTGGAGAACAGGGGGGAAGAAACAACGGACAGAAAGTGAATCATTTTCCCTTCTTGCTCATTTGTGCCTGGGGGCTCTGAAACCCTCACAGCCTGGGAATCAGGGTCTTAGGCCGTGTTAAATTACCAAATTCACTTTTAATGAAAGAAAACTTAATCTGGATTGGTTTTATTAATAGAATTCCCCCCTGAGCCAAGTGGAGAAGGAGGGTGGGGGCAAAACACTTTCAAATGGAATAATTAAGACCCTTCGCCTTCTCTCTTTGGCGAGTTAATTAAGACGAACATGCAGGCTCTTGATATGTGTTGTTCCAGCTGAACAAGGGGAAACAGTCAATGCAGCAGCCGCAGCAGCAGCAGCCCTGTCACTTCACTGTATGAGGGGGAGGATGATGAATCTTTTTCGATTTTCCATCTCTGGTGGTGAACTTCTTTAGAACTTGTGAGTACTAGATTTAGGATTTAGGGCTCACTTCACTCGCTTCACTTCTGTTTTCTCTCATCTGCGGTGAGCTGAGCGGGTATAATGAATGTGAGCTGTGTGCAAATGAGAGTTAAGGTGTGCTGTGTTTTCTCCATCGTGTGTTTCAGTTCCTGAGGATTTGTCCCTGGAGGAGAGGGATGAGCTGTCAAACATCCGACGCAGGAAGAGAGAGCTGCTCGATGATATTGAGGTTTGTGTTTGGACAAATGAGCATTATACCGTCTGTACAGTAGCTGAAGCCTCTGTTCATTAACAGTGCACTGTAACTATGGTGATAGTCTAGCTTTTTCTGATAAATGTCATGCACTGTATTGATAGCAGATCATTTTAATATGGACCTGGGAAAAATAATTATTAGGTATATAGTATATTCTTAATATTAACTTCTGAACTTTAGTCATCTCATCTTTTTTTGGCTATCTTCTGCAGCACTGTTGCTCTATTTGCATGCTGTAAGACATGCAAATTGACCTGCAGTACATCTTTGTACAGCAAATTTGCTCACAAAAAGTGATGAATTTTCCACCGTGTACACTGTATCCCATCTCATGCCGCACTTTATCCTGTTTTAATGCAAAGAAAGAAACCATGTGACATGTCTCACTCTTTCCCCCCAGAGGTTGAAGTTTGAGATAGCTGAGGTCATGACGGAGATCGAGCAGCTGACGTGTGTTGGAGAAAGGTAAGTCACTAAAGATGCTTTGTCATGCCATTTACTGCACCAGTGTAGTTTGTGCCTATGATGTTTACATGTCTAATGTATCTGCAATCAATCAATTATTAAGTATGTTAAGCGATTTGTGGCTTTAAAAAACAACCTTGGTTTGTACATCTCTACAATCTGTTGAAATCCAATACAACAGTTCTGCTATAAAATCAACCTTTATGAAACTTACAATGTTACATTTTTGATCCAGTCCAGTACAACCCACCATGCTAAAACATAGAGTTGAGTTAATACAAAAACTGAACATTATATTTAATGTTTTCAGGCAGAGCTGTTGCATTGCATTAGATTGTACAGGTGTACCTTATAAAGTGGCCCCTGAATGTATATCATGACTCTTTGTTTTTTAACTAGAAACATTATGACACCGAGGCAAAAAGCAATAACAGTCTTTAAATTGTTCTTGGGGTTGCATGGTAGCTCACCTAGTACAGTGCGCCCCATGTAGGCTCAGTCCTTAGCGCAGGTTCGATTCCAACCTGCAGCCCTTTGCTGTTTGTTGTCGCACCTCTTTCTTTCCCTTTACTGTCTAGTTTGTCTGTCTTGCTTCTCAAGTCACTTAAATCCCCAAATTCCCCCAAAAGATCCAGAACATGAACTCTAAAGCCCCAAATAACACTAATAGTCTTTCAGCCAAAAATAGCCAGCACCAGAATCATGGTTGACTAATTGCCTTTATCTAAACTGGGTTTGGGATTTGCATGTTAGGTGAGAGCAGTTGGACTACAAAGATGTTTCTTGTTTCCAATGACATAGGCTGAATAAGCTGGAAAAGGATGTGTTTGTATAGGTAAAACAGTGACTTATTACACCTATTGTTTGGCAAAATGTTAACAGCATTATTCTATACAATATAGTGAATCCAACAGCCTGGCCACACTGTATATTGTCCAACCGACAGCTGCGTAAAACCAATAGTGATAGTGTTCCTCGTCTGTCAATAAGGTCACGTCTGCTTTGTCCTCTCATCTGTCACTTTATCACCTGCATTACACACACATATATTTGTGGGGGGGTTGTTGAGTTTGTGTGAGCGCATATGTTTTTCAGATTAGACTCAAACATGTACACATATAATGGGTAGAACAGATGTGGGAGGAAATAATACTCTCTGTTGCTGCTATAAATAAAGTATATTGTCTGATATTCAGGTGCTGGACTGTCTGCTATTTTCAGAGTTGTTAAGGGTAAATAAGTGGAGCAACCTAATAAAATCTCTACATTCATGTTTCTGTGTTGCAGTAAAACAACCCAGAGAAATAAGCAGATTGCCATGGGCAGGAAGAAATTCAACATGGATCCAAAGAAGGTACTGCATGGTCTCATGTTTTCATCGTAACCCACCACAGCCTCCAGTATCGCTCTAGCCTTGAAAGGAGTGATTTCCAGAGCTGGTGTGAAGAGCGATCCATTCTCAGCTGTGAAACCCTGTCATTTTCCATCATCCCCCCTGAATTGAGACGAACAGCCACCCTGTTTTCTCCTCTTCCTCTCCAGGGAATACAGTTCCTGCTGGAGAACGACCTCCTTCAGCACACCCCCGAAGACATCGCACAGTTCCTCTACAAAGGCGAGGGCCTCAACAAGACTGTCATCGGAGACTACTTAGGCGAGAGGTGAGACAGAGCATTTATCACACTGCAGGAGAAAGTCCTCCTTACGTGAGATTCATGCCCCCTCTGTTATTAGAGAAGGAAATTACGGCCTGGATTTATTGATTAAAGAGGGAGAACACGATTGCCCCCCCCCCAACATGAATCTTTGAGTCAGTGTGGGTGTGCTGTCATATGTGGACTTATAACTGGTAGTAAAAGGGCCATGCAGCTGCTCACATCTCAGGCCAGACTGCTGGATAATGAAGAAGAAAGGAAGTCCTGCAGTTAGTGAGATGGATGGTGTTATCTGAAGGTGAGATTAGATAGTTAAACATAGTGTATGAGGCTAGGCGGGACAAAATACTATGAATCAAAAACCAGAAAAACAGAGCTGTGTGTGCACATCAAAGGTTTAGTGTCACAAATTGATCAGGCACAAAACCAGAACAGCTTTATTATGTCCAGCTTCATTTATCATTTGTCTGTATTTCATTTGAAATAACTAACTGAAAAAAAAAAATTATTTTACATTAAAAATGTTTCATTTAAGTATGTGCAACAGATATCCTGAGAAAGTCGTGAATTGTACTTTACATAATATACCGTAATTTAAAGGTATATTCAGCGCTATTTTTGCTTACACAGTATGTCCATTTTGCTTCTCATTATCCTCAGTTGATGAAACACAAAGCAATGATTCAACCTATAATCAGTTCAACTTGTAATCAGTCCTTACATTTGCTGCTCTGAACACTGTGTGATATTGTACCTTATCTTATATTTCTGCCAGCAGTAACAGTACTTTGTTTTATAGCCTTTTTTTGAGAGGGTAAAAAATCGGATCATGATAATTCGAGCAATCGTCTTTCTGTTTACATAAACAAATATTTTTAATACGGATCCCTACGGATAAGGTTTTATGTCCTGCATTTTTATCCGCTCTTATCTTAGCGATTACCATCTGTAATAAGTCAATATTGGGTGATCTGTTGATCTATTTATCAACCTAGCTATATACAGAAAATAATCTGGGTTTTGATACCTGCTGTGCCTGAAGAACATATTCTTTTTATCAACATAAAGTCTCAGAGCTGTACTCTTTGACTGACAGGTAATCTTTGAGATTTGTGGAGCGGAAACAACAACACTAATGACTGATTAGCACCACAAATGTCACAGGAGAAAATGTCATTGAGAAAATAAGAGGGGCAATGAATGAATCTGTGGGTCTGGCTGACAGAACTCCACACACTGACACAATTGAAGCCAATTCTGGTGTTTTGTGTTGGTCACAAACCAGCTGTTTTACCTGTGTGAAGCAAAGTTAAATGTAAATTTCCTGGCATGAAAAAGTTAAAAATGAGCTCTTGTTTGGCAAAAGTGAATATATTCTGTCACTTTTTTTATGCAGGGAATCATATCAACTCCAGTCTGTGATATTTTACCTGAGTAAGGGTAGTGATAGTGGATCGGCAGACAGATCAGCATTGTCAGAAACAATGAAACACACACACACACACACAAACACACACTGTGAATGAGGTTGACAGCTGGGGAGGGGGACTCTGGGGACTCCTCTTGTTGGCAATAGGCTTTATTCATGGTGGATCATCAAAGAGGCCACCTACCCAGTGGAAATCACACTAAACACAGGCTGAGGGTTTACGCTCAGTAATTATCACTAATTGAGCTTATGCAAAGAGCAGGAACCTATCATTACATGCTGAGCGGAGAGGAAGATGAAGAGAGGGGAAAACAGGAGGGAAACACAGAGAGGGAGTGGAAGAGAAAAATAGCTAGAAGCAGGATAGATAGTGGGAGTAGGGATGCGGGCTGAGTGGGTGACTGACTCTTAATTTATACTACCAGACCTTTTCTATTGTATTCTATCTATTTCTATTTCCTGTGTAATTCAACTTTGTTTAGCACATACAATACACTCACTGTTGTCACACTGAGACGCGTGTATATGCAATTTTGATTTATATTTTTTACAAACACTAGGCCACATTCAAGTGCCTTTTTAATAATTGTACCTATACCACCACTAACCTTATATGTAACCCTCATAGGATAGTATTCATTTTATTTGAATGCAGATGCCAGTATAGGGTACAGTACAGTCACAAACACACAGTGGAGAAGAAAAGCCCCCAAGTCATCATCCAAATAATCCAAGAATGTTATTGCAATCCAAGTTTGTTGCTTGTTTCATGTAAGCCAATGCTCTCTGTACTCTCCGCAACCTTTCCACTGCGTCTTTCCACAAAAAAAAAAACACACAGCGGTAAGTCTGAAAATTCCTGGTTTTCATTTGAACAATACACAAAACAAAGACCATACAGGATCAGGATCATGGACCCTGATGTACAACAAACATTGATCAGAGAAGCTGTAACCACAAGCCCGAGAGCAGCCGTTGACTTTTCCTCCAAAATTCTTCCGATGGCCAAACAAACCTCTGACAAAAAGGAGTCTGTGTGGTTTCGGTTTTAGCTGTTTTTCATCAGTCAAACGCACCGTTTCCCCCCCTCGGGGTGGAGAAATATTCGGCAGTGACCAGCTGTTTAAATTGCTTCCAGACTCTACGCTCAGCGCCCGGTATGAATAAGGGCACAAACATGACAGGAATGCTGAGAAACAGGAATTCAGGTTGAGAAATGCTTTCATGGAGGAAATATGTTTTTTTCCCCACCCTGTCTTCTGGGTTCACATTGTGTTCAGAGTTATCTTAAATCTTCTCTGAGGTGTTTTGTTATCTCTCAAATGATCTTCTTGTTCTTTGAAAAAAAAAAAAGAAAAAGGAATGTCTTATAGATAGATGATAGAATAATATTGGAAGTATTTTTCTCATCCTCCTTTTGTTCCACCAGGGATGACTTCAACATCAAGGTGCTTCAGGCTTTCGTGGAGCTGCACGAGTTTGCAGACCTTAACCTCGTCCAAGCACTACGGTCAGCAGAATGATTAATATTTATTAACCCAAATATTTAAAAAAATGATATGATATGATAATTACAACAGCTCCAACAATGTCCTGTGTAGACTCCATGTGGTATCAGAAATTAAATCCCCTTCCTCTCCCTTTAATTGTAGGCAGTTCTTGTGGAGTTTCCGTTTGCCAGGTGAAGCCCAGAAGATCGACCGTATGATGGAGGCCTTTGCCTCACGGTACTGCCAGTGCAACCCTGGAGTCTTCCAGTCAACAGGTCAGACACAAAGCAGACTACTGTCATGTAAACCAAGGGTTCCCAAAGTTACATACCCCAAAAAAGGCCTGTCAGATGAGCTCCACTGACACCCCCTGTCATGTTCGATTTAAATTTTAAACTCAGTGTTATTTAACAGTATTAATTATTTAAAAGTGGATTTTGTATTATATATATAAGTGGTTATTTTTCTCATGTAATTGAACAGTCAGCATTTAGGTCAGTTTGGTCAAATTTCCAATATTTTAACTAACTGTTTCCACTTTGTATCTATTATCAGCTATTACAACTATTAATCCGTTTGGTTTAGCTGTTCCATTTCCATGAATATCGCTATCTATATTTACCTCTTACCTCTTTTAGCTAACTGTTAATTACTTATGGCTGTATATTTAAACCATTTATCTACTGCTTTTTAGCTAACTTTTTTAGTTTTTACCATAGAGTGAATTTTTTACAAATTAATTGAATTTATGAATCTTTCCACGTACCCTTTGGGAACTGCAAAAGTACCCCCTGGGATAAGTACCTCTGGTTGAATAGTAAGTAGTCAAGATGTCTGACCAAAGTGTCAAATCCAATATTTTGGACAAAGTCAATGCAGTGACGGGCAGTCTAGGCTAATGTGCCAACAGAAGTACAGCCCGAGGGTGCATTGAGTGATGACCTGTTTTTTTATGCATTTCAATCATTAAGCCATAAGAGTTACTGTAACTAAAGCTCAATGAGGATTAAACAGATTACAGTAACTGCAATTCACTGCTGCAGATGAGTTCAGAGTAAACAACCAGCAACAAACAAGGGACATCCATTATTTAGGAAGACTTATTCTGGCTGAGTGATACATGGACTTGTGATAAACAAAGCCTACAACTACAACAGTCAGTAAATAATTAAAGACATTGTAGAGCAACCCATTGTGTACAAGATTGTTCAGGGTGCCTGTGGTCCCATGGAGGAAACAGTCTTTTAGTTTTGTCAACTTGGGCATGGTTTTGGCAAATTCAAATTGATCCAATTTTTTTGACTTTTTAGATATATCAGGTGGGAGACAGTGCCAGTATGCAGGATAAATGCCTCAGAAAAAGCTTTGTTTCATATACTGATTTTGGCATGGTCACCGTTCAATCCTTTATACTTGCATAGTGTATTCAGTTATAACCCTGTCAAACATTTTGATGGAATATTTTTTCAGTGGCCCCATAAAGTCTCGTGCACAATTTCAGCATAGGCAGGCATGCATGTTTGTGTTTGCGAAAGTTGTGGGCGCAGGGCAGAACAGCAGCTTAGAACCATGTGTGTAGGCAGTAACCGCACACAGAGCCTATAAAAACAAAATGATCCAGGATCTTTAATTACCAGGGGAATGAGCCGTTTCTCTCAGTGCTTCATCATACTTATCCCAGATACCAGCACCTCTTGCCTTGTAGTAGCACTGTGTGCAAAGCTCCTCTATTTTTTATGGAGAATGCGTGTTAGCAGACAATAGGCATCGCAGGACAGCCAGGACTAAAGTGTGTCAGTGAGAGGAGACAGACAGAGGGGAATGAATGATTCATTTACAGGCAGCCACTGGCCCGTGAGTGTCTGAACATTAACACACAGTAGAGACACTAAAGCCCTGCCCCCCCTTACTTTCTCTCTCACTCATACCTCACACTGATTTTTTTTGTTGCAGCACACATTCAAAATGATTATTAAAAAGAACTTGGCTTGCTCGGTATTAAAGCTGATGCACTAGTGAAATAGAGAGAGATTAAACCACACTATTTTCCCTGTGTCTGTATCTTTCTCAGCTATTGTCAAAATGCCTTTAAATTAAATACAAAAAACTCACTTCCCAGTCCTCTTTGATACATATAATAGCATTATTCCAAACAGTTAATGTGCAATAAGAAATCCATCATGTCCATCATAGAAAATTAAAAATAAAAGGAAAATAAGAACTGGTAATAACATGCAGTCCGTGATTATAACTGCACACATATAGATATTCAAATACGGATATGAATGTGTAAATACCATGTATAAATGGGGTCTCTATACGCTTTTGAAACCCATTTGATTCCTTTTGTGTTGCTCTCAGATACCTGCTACGTGCTGTCATTCGCTATCATCATGCTGAACACCAGCCTACATAATCCCAACGTCAGAGACAAGCCCCCTGTGGAGCGCTTTATCTCCATGAACAGAGGCATCAATGAAGGAGGAGATCTGCCAGAGGAGCTTCTCAGGGTGAGGTTTCACTGTGATTTGCGTGTTTGTGTGTGTGATGATTGATCTCTGTGACCGCTCTGTCACACCTACACCATACGGATGAGGCATTTCCTCCACTGTTTCCCTTTTTGATTAATAGTTTTCCTCCTCTGCCTGCAGAACCTTTACGACAGCATCAAAAATGAGCCCTTCAAAATCCCAGAGGATGATGGGAATGATCTGACGCACACATTCTTCAACCCCGACAGAGAAGGCTGGCTCTTGAAGCTCGGTATGTGCATTTACAGCCACAAAAGTAACCTTGGTTATGTTGATTTATGTTAGCAGAGCCTGGACATCAGTTTGATGAGCAGTGTCCTTTATTTCCCTGATGATAAGTGTTTGTGTTGTTTGTTTGTTTGTTTATAACGGGCTTTCAGGCGGCCCATGTTGGAGGTGGACAGCTCTTGGGCAACAACAGCTGAAAATAGATGATTGTATTTTGTCCATTTCAGAAGAATTAAACATTAAAAGTACCTGTTAGTGCCAGTATGCTACATTTCACTAACAGGAAATGATGCAAGGTATATGATGGCAGATGTCATGAGCTGATGCTAACACCAATTTCACCAAAACATTTGGCTTTTAAACTTTTTTTAAGGGCCCAGTAACACCAGAGTTGGTAATATTATATGAAATATTTTAATTTTAATGTTGCGATAAATCGATTTGTTCCCCAAGTGAATTTTATATAACTCTGTTCTGTCTGAATTGCTTAATAAAAGAAATGTGGCATGGTTTTCAATCAGTCATGAGACAGGAATTAGTGAAGGAGACTGAGTGAAGTCCCAGAGCGTGCAGCACCACTTGATTTGTGATCATGTGCAATGTGCGCTCTGCCACCTGTCTGACTAGGTGCTAATTGTAACAGTCTTTTGATTTAATTACCTGTTCTTGGTGATTCAAGTTAGCACCGTCATTATGAGTACGTTAGCATGCCGATGTGAACATTTAGCTCAAAGCACTGCTGTGCCTAAGTATATCCTCACAGAGCTGAGAGCTGATAGCATGGCTGTAGACTCTTGGCTTGTTTTTAGCTGTGAGCCCTTTCCACTAACACTGGGAGAGAAACAGTGCATCAACACATCTCTCTGTGCTAATTTTCCCAGTGTGGAAACACTACACTCAGGCCCCTGCTGGCTTATTAGCTGGCTACAAAAGTTGTTCACGTTAAGAGGGTTGACTCTTCTAAAGAAAAGGTAATAGTGGTTACTAAGTTGCATATGGTAAAATGTGGAAAATCTCTGCCTCACCAGACTTGTAATATTAGTGGCCACATTAAATAGCACTACCAAACACATGTCATTTAGCTCATGATTTCGGCACATACAGCCCCATTGTTGGCCCAAAACTGTTCACCTCCATGATGGTGCTAGACAGGTTTCTAGGAAATCTGCAAATTGTCTTATCTCTCTCCATCCTTCATCTCGTGACCTCTCCTCTTTGTTTTATCTCGTATTGTCTCTCCTCTCCTTCCTCTCCTTTCACTTAGAGCATGCTCCTTTCAACTTCTCTCTTTCCGTCTCTCTGGCATGGTGATTTTTGTGCTCGCTGTGTCTTTCAAAATCCTTCTGTGTTTTTTGTTCCTTCACTCCCTCTCTCTAACCTTTCACCCTTTCACTTTTTTGTTCTGTTCTTTCATTCTGTTCTTTGATGGCTGTTCCTTCTTAAATCTCTGTATTAGGAGGTAGGTAACACTCCTTCCTCTATCCTCCCGGTTCATCACAGTGCTCACTCACTGGCATTGGCTGCCATGAACTCCTTAGCACACCGGGCCCCTGAACATGCTAGCCGCCTCATTATATATGGCTTATTGAGTTGTTATTGGTCAAATAAGAACAGCATTTTGAGGTGATGGGTTATCTCATTCAAAGGAAAGGGTGATTTGGAGGTCAGTGATCTCTCATACTGCATGGGGATTGGCTGCATTCCTCTTGTGGCTCTGGAGGAGGCTGGATGACGCACAGGGCTCGTCTCAGTTGGTGCACACATGGAGCACTATTAATCTTTGCATGAAAAATAACTGTTCACATCATCAAACCAGTGCCATTTGCCACATCTTTTAGTATCACTGATTAGTCACTGCCTCAGTGCTTGGAAATTTTCTTCCAAGTAACGCTGACGTTCATTGCTCTGACACGAATGATGTTTGCTTCATTGTAGATGACCTGGCAACCAAACAGGGTTCAGCTGAGGTCACTTCCTGCTCTGTACCTTTAGAGACCGCCCTGTGCATCACACAGCTCCTGTGTAGCTATCTGCCAGAACATGCAGTCATGCTCGAGCTTAGTGAATGGGCTGCTTGAGTCTGCGCTGTGGGAATGCGTACCTACCGCTGCGTGGCTGGTCATGCGGTAAAATAAAGGAGACCCTCACCTATTTTATTTCTTCTCCCTCTGTTGCTGTACTACAGGCCTCAGTACCCTTCACTGCTGCTTCTTTCTCTTCTTATACAGATCTCCCTCTCTTTTGCTCTCTATCCCACCAGCTGCACTTGCCACATCATTTTAGGTCCAATTTTTCCCATCAGTGAATTCCACGCTAATTTTAGCTCCATCAAAGGAGTCCATGCTTAATGAGAGAAGATTGAGCCCTTTGCTGGTCCGTCAGGTAGTTGATTATGACATACTGCTGCACTGCTATGGCTGTGAAGCTCCATAAGCTCTCATTACACTACTCTATTAACCAGGACTGAGCCTGCTGCTATGCCCGAATCCATACTCATTACAGTGTATTTCAGTACGCCTACTATCTGCAGAAGGGTCTCAAACACAACACCTCTGCTGGTCCTCTGTTCAGTCTGACATACAATCTAATCAATATTTAATCTGGATCTATGATCAGTCAGTGTGCAGTATTGTAGCTGTTCTGCATCTGACTTCAAATGTATCCAACAAATAACCTTTTAACTAAATATTAATCATGGGAAACATTTGATCCCACTCAGTAATATACATTGTGAAAACTGGGTAATGTGTGTTAAAGATGAATAAGTCCAAGTACATGCTTGCTGTATTTTGTGCTTGTCAACATTTCCAGATTTAAAAAAGACTTTTAACTGCCACACAATTTTGAACATTCTCACATTTATTTGCGCTTCTTCTCTGCAGTGTCCTTAAACAAATGAATGATAAATCTGCATTAGACACATGCAAACATGGAGGGTCCTGAAACTGATAACAACTGTCAGGTTTTGAGGATTAAATTAAACATTTGGCTATGGGGAATAAACGGCTGCCATATGGTTTCACTGTAGCAGAGTAAAACATATTTTGTATTTACATGCTCCTTCCATTTTAGTGAGTAAAATGCAGCGGATGCATCTGAAAGTAAACATTGCTCATACATAATGTAGATGTTGGATTTTACTCTAGCTAGCAGTATATAAAAATCTGGGTCAAGTGAACATTACATATTGATTACATCAGTAACGGCTGCTTTGTACTCTGTAAAGTCAGCAAACATGTTATTATGGTGCACATATTGCAGACTGTACATTGACATCAGCCACATTATGTTCTTTTGATTACATAGGTAAATTACTCATTGCATCACTGATGGTGTAATTAGCAGAAAATCCAATAATCCTATTAATCTACTTTTATCTGATGATGGAGGCAGATGGAGAGATTGTGTCTCTTATAAGGAGAGATCCTTATATTATTCCTACATTCAGATATTTCATTGTACTCACTCCTGCTTTAGTTGTCACACGTATGTGGTGTGTTTTCACAAGCCACCTGCGGAGCCCCAAGGCATCAATCTTTTCAAACTGGGAGGGGGTGCTGGAGGGGAGTACCCCCCCTCTGATTGAGTCTAATAATGCAGAGAGCTGATGATCAGAACCAGATGTGGCACGTGGGGCTGAGGTCTCCTGCAGGTTAGCGTCTACATACACAAACACTGTCACCTCTTAAGTTCGAACTCAGAAATGTTGTGTGTTTCTCTCTGCAGGCGGCAGGGTGAAGACGTGGAAGAGACGGTGGTTCATTCTGACCGACAACTGCCTCTATTACTTTGAATACACAACAGTAAGTCGGCAGATTGATGTGTGCTCGCGTGTGTCAGATTGGACTGTATAATACACACATGACAGCTGTTTTTTAAACTCAATCTGGGTTCTTCTGTTGTTTACCAGAAAGCATATTACACAAATATTTATCTTTTTGCAGATTATTGACTCATTGAATAGAGGGAAAAGACAAGTCCGGCTTTATAGTAAATTTGCTTATTTGCAAAACACTTTGAGTGTTAGATGAGAAGATTGATACAACTCTCAAATTTGTACTCTGCCTGAAGACTTAGCTTAGCTTAGCACGAAGACTGGAAACAGGGGGAAACAGCTAGCTTGGCTGTGTTGGAAGCTAAAGAAATATACTTAACAGAACCTCAAAAGTTTACTTCTTAACATGCTATATATTATTTGTGTAATCACACGACACAGTAGGGGTTTCAATCTTCTCATCTTACTGGGCAAGAAAGGATCATATTTCCCAAAATGTCAAAATATTCATTTAAGAATCTCAATAAATATTGCTTTACATTTTAAAATATGTATTCCAATATTGGTAGCCGCGCTAAGTGTGTGAAATACCCGATGATTAAATATATATAGCTTAGTATAGATAAATGAAGTGCGACAGGCTTTTTAAGTAAAGTGGAAACATAAAAAATACATGTAATCTGTGTCTCCCTCTCACACACACACACACTGAGTTAATGACAGAGGTCTTTGCCTTCCAGCTCTGCCTCTTTAACAGATGCAGCCCCTTTGACCTAAATGAACCTCACTCCAGCAATTAACATGAGGCATCATGGGAAACATCTGCAAAGTCTACGGCACACATCTGGCCCCGCTAAGCCGCAAGCCAAGTGCCTCCCCCAACCTGCTGCCTGTCACCCCAGCATCCCCATTTCTGAGAACATCCCCCCTAAAACACACACACGCACACACACCAATCCATCAGTGCACACAAATGCACACTGCAGTGGCACACACACACTAAGAAAGGCACACACACAACCAGCTGTAAGCAGCTGTCCCAGGGCATACCCCCCCTCACTGTGCCCCCTCATTAGTAGGAAGATGACAAGCAGGACATGGGGCTGTTCTCCAAGGTCCCCCCAACACACTCACACACACACACACACACCACACCCCTCACATCTGGCCCTGCAGACAGAATACCAGTCGCTGGAGGATGGAGGGTATAGGGTTACGTCTCCCTCGGGTGCTGTCCCCTACGTGACCAGGATGAATAAAAACCTCCAGTGTGCTTTTATCACCACCTTGATTTTTACTTTGAGTCCGTCAGGATCAATTTGTAAAGATAATAGTTATAAAACTTCACGGCAGTGGAATTTAAAGGTGCTGCATGTTGCATCAAAAAATTTTACTGCGTCAACTTTGTTACATTAGCATTAACATTTTGACCTGATGATGCCACTAGATGAAAAGTTTTCCTTTAGGGGACCTCTGATATCTGTAGAAAATGTCTAAGAGAAGTCAAAGACTGATGGAGAAAACATTTCCAATATGTTCATTCGTTTCCATGTAGAGGAAGATCTTTCAATGATGAAGCAAATGTCTCGTAGGTGAAAGGGTTTATGGGAGATGCGTGCGAGAGGGTGCACTAGCAATAATAAGAGGTCAAAGTCAAATTCAGTCAGATTCTTCAAAGACTGGAGACGGAGTGACTTCATCTGGGCTGGATCCTTTCTTCATTATGTGTCATTGAGCCCTCATTAGACACTGATTTACTTGATGCTGATTGTTGTGTGTGTTTTCAGGATAAAGAGCCTCGTGGGATTATTCCTCTGGAGAACCTTAGTATCAGAGAGGTGGACGAGCCCAGGAAACCTGTAAGGAGCAACTCCGGACACCGTCTTGTCCTTTTAAATTCATATTCATCCTTTTCAAATTCAGACGGAGAACGTAAACTTTGTCAAAACAAAAAATACAACTTATCGCTTACTGCTGCCTCCTGATGTCTCCCCAGAACTGCTTTGAGCTCTACAACCCCAACCACAAAGGTCAGGTGATCAAGGCCTGCAAGACAGAGGCAGACGGGCGGGTTGTCGAGGGCAACCACGTAGTGTACAGGATATCGGCCCCCACGCCGGAGGAGAAGGAGGAGTGGATCAAATCCATCAAGTAAGAGATGTCGTGTTAGTGTGGATCCATTTACACTGAGAGGGCACTTAGCCAACACCGGGCTGCTCCCATGTGGCACTTTCTCATGTCTGACCTTGACTGTGAGACCCTAACACACACACACACACACACATCATACACACACAGAGCTGTGAGCTTAATCAGAAATGTGCAGACCAGCACAAATACACACACACGCTGGTGACTAAACATGACTGCGTTTCTCACACTTCCACACAGATAACACTCAGAGGTGATTTCTGCTCTGCTGGATAAGCTCACTTCCCTTTGATTAGGGCTCAGCAAGCAAAGAAAAACACACACATATGCACACACACACTTACACACACACACCTACTCAGGCACTATGGCCCTGCTGCGCTCCTAGAAGTGTTATGCTGGCCTTTACACCTGATCTGTCATATCCAAATGCTGCTTTGTTAACCGGGAAGGAGAGTGGAGGTGCAGCAGTGAATTGGACCCAGTGGGTAATGGATCAGCTCCCTGGTTATCATCCACTCAGCTGCAGCTTCACAGGCAAATATGATCAATATCACAGCAGAAATCATATTACACGACCCTTCCATGCTCTAATGATACTAAAAACCCACTTAGCATTGACATGTGTGTATCCATTAATGAAAGTGATGGGTTTTTCAGCTAAGTTACTGGAAATCTTGTTCGCTGAGGCTGCTTCATGTACAGTTGAGGCGATGTCTTGGTTTGGGAGATTGACCTTCAGATGACACATTGTCTGGATTTCACACTCCTGTTGCAGGCCTTAAAAGTGCTTTTAGTGCAAAAGCAGGAGTGTGAACCAGGGGTGTTTAAGTCCACTTGCACATCGTAATGTAAAGTCTCTTTCGGTCACTTTTGGAATAGTGAAGATCACAAATTGGACTCAGCAGGGCAGAACTGTGCTGCTTCCAACACTCTCTCACTTGACTCAGCTGCTGGGGCGGCAGACTGTCCTGTGGTCAACAGATTCACACACGCACACACAGTATGTCCACACTGTTCACCTGACTCATCTGCAAGGATGGAAACTGCTCTTGTGGTAGCTGTTCTGTACACATACACACGTACGAGACCGCTGGTCTCAGCATGACGATTGTTCTGCTGCTGGGAAAGCTGCGGTTACTCAGCGTAATTCCCATCCTCAGTGAGGTTATGAAGCTTTGATTTTCCTATAAGGAGCAGGGAAGGACGTGGAACTGCACTAACACACACCACAACAACTTAAAGCAGCTTTAAAGCAGCAGTAGGTTCATTTTATAAAAAGCTTTTGTCGTATGACAGTAGTACATGGGACAGAGTTCCTCTGGCTCATTCTAGTGCTTATAATGGCATTTGCATGCCTGAACTAAAATAACCAATTAGAGCCAAGAAAGATAGTTGATCATTATGTCTCATTCCCTTGTTGTCAAATACTAACATTTTGGGCCGCTGAGAATTGTCACAGATTATCTGTCTTGTACTACTGTCAGGATAAAGTGAATGTTTCAGCAAATATGCAAAAAGTTATTTTTAGCCAGTCCCTCAGGACTAAAAGAGAATGAATATTGGGAGTTAAATTCATCAAATGGCCACAAACACAACTACAAATGAATGATAATGTTGCTTCCGGTCTGCTGGGTGTGGAAATACGCAACTAGTTGACAACATTTTTGTTGCATTACTGGGTTCATTTTTTGGTGTGGTGAGTTGTTGTTGTTTTCTGTGGATAACATACATAATGCGATGTTGAGATATTTACAGCGAGTCGAGTTTGATCGAAGGTTTCTGAGGTGTAACAAATCACTGTAAATGTCAAGTTTCGGTGTTGATCACTCAAAATCAAAGCAAATCTTTGGAGATCCCCCAGAATGCAGTGCAGACACAAATGTGAGATATTTTGAGTTAGATGCACTGACTGTATAAAGACAAGACAGATTAAGGTCAAGTTAGTACACTGAGAAATTACTGGACCTCATCCCAAAACAGTCCTACAGTGCTCTAAACATTGCATAATGATCACGTGTTTTAGTGTTTTTCTTCCCTCTGTAACATTTATGAGCCTTTTTTTTTCTTTCAGTGTATGTAGCACTGACATGAACCGTTGCAAACAGTCGATAAGTGATCTGTTCCTTCCTGCCCTCTCTCTCCACAGAGCAAGCATCAGCAGGGATCCTTTCTACGACATGCTGGCCACCAGGAAGCGGAGGATAGCCAATAAGAAATGATAACCGCCCACCATCAGCCACACCTGCATCACCAACATGTCTGTGACCAGCAGAGTCCTCCTGTGTGTGTGTGTGTGTGTGTGTGTGTGTGTGTGAGTGTCGTTACGGGGGACATGAAGGCCTCCCTTTTGTTCTTTCAGGGCTGGAGGACGAGCAGCAGACACAGGTGGATCAAGTTCATTTCCACCTGAAGAATATCTGCGCCTCAATTCTTGGTTGATGTGAGAATGTGACGGTTTTATTTAATCCGGCGCTGACTTTGAACACTGATGTGCCATTTGGGTGAGACTTTATGGAGAAGCTGGATGATAATAAATGAAGAAAAGGATAAGGACAACCGTTTTCTAGAGCAACAGCCATGAGGAGTCTTTTGCCAAGCGTGGCTGTGATGAGATCGCCCTCTGCTGGACACACACGGAATTAAATGTACTGTACTGCACTAACGCAGCGTGAGGATTTGAAACCTGAACATCCATCCTTGTAATATGGTACCCAGACCAGCTCGCCTGGTTGGTTTTCTGCCAGGACTCCCAGATGGCAGTCGACATTTTACTATCTTCACCTCACATGACCTTCGACAACTGCCAACACTAACAATGTTTTGTAGTATCCCGTAACTACAGGAAGCCTCTCAAGCTTTTAAATCAGCTGGTCTGATTGTTAGCCCTCAAGTGACTGTATCTGTATATGCAAACACACTGATTTATTCTAATAGGAAGAAACTGAGGCTCATATACTTTTTCATTTACAGTACGCTCCCTCTTTAAAGGCGAAGAAACTGATGCAGGTTGAGGAATAATACTTAACATATATTGAGTGTAATGACCCTTTTACGTGGCCACAATTATAAACTGTCATTTCATGTCATTTCATGTATTGAAGATCCACCTCTGTGATCAAGTTCATTTCTTTTGTATTTATTTTCTTAATTTGTTTAACAAAAGAGGCAGCCCCCCAATTTACATTATGCATGTATAGTATATAATGTACATACTGTTTTTTTTTCCTTTGTTGTGTTTATGTAGCATGTAAATCATAACGGCCGTAGCCTATACCCGTTCACCTTTTTAGTTCAAGAGCTAACAGTTTACAATAGTGGAAGAGGGACTCTGTGCAGCTCTTTACAGAGCAGTGAAACCTCCTCACACTGTTATTACTGAAGATCAGATAATACATGTTATTATGAAAGAAAAACTCACTATTCTGAGTTTGACAAGAGAGTATAGGACACAAGCGGGTTCAAAATACCCTTGAATACCGTGTGAATGCTGACTGGAATCCGAGGACTGTTTTTCCCAAACAGATCAAGCCAACCTGCAGCCTAATCTTTCATTACTGGATGTTTGAGTTTAAACATGGCTTGATGTGAGTTTGGGAAAACTGCCCCTGCATACTTTGAATAAAAATACATGCTGATCAGAAAAACAAGTTTTTGTGTGCATGTGAATTCAGTGAGATGGGCTCGACTTGCTAAGCTTACCAGGTCTTTGGTTATTTCAAACATGGAAACAGTGTTGTGAGTAAAATGTAGAGTCAGCTGAGCCATCCCGCTGACTGAAATTGCTAGAAAAGTGTGTGTATTTAACAAAACCTGAATACAGAAGAGTGCTATCCGTTTTCATCCTCACTTATATGTATCTACATCATAATTTGACTGCTGTGGAAAGTTTGTTTAACAAGAGGCTCGAATACAATCGGTCTATTCCTAGTATATAATACAAAGGCAGACAAGAGCTTTTCAAAAATCCCTGGCAACTCGTCAGTCATTTCAATCAGCATTTTTCATTCATTTCAATGCAGCTTGTAAACAAAGTCAAAGACCAGGAACAGATTACAATTTCTGACATTAACAAATGTATTTTAAGGCGTTTACCTTATACAATGTATAAATTCTGACATGCTAAACTAAAAAGATATAACAGCAGTTTTTCAACCTCTGTCTAAAGTTGGAAAAAAAAAAAGAAAAGGAAAAAAAAAAGCAAACCATACCCATTACTGTCTTTTGTCCAGAGAATATGGTCAAAATTAACTTGACTTTTTCTAAAAACAAAGCAAAACAACAAAACATCTACTGGTAACCCTGATACAGGATTTTTATGTATAAAAATAACTGATAGTACAGTTCAAAAATTAAATTCACAGTATTTCTTATGACGCTAGAAGACACAAACTGTATTTTTTCATTAAAAAGCAAACACAAATGGTCCACAGCCATGATAACAAATTTTTGATGCTTTTTTTTTTTAAACGTTTAAAAAGAAAAAGAATGTGACAAAAGGAGGGAGAGGCATAATCCAGAGAAAAACCTCTGCTTCTGTGAAAAAGTTTAAAAATTACAGAGAGTGAATCTTAGGCTTCAGAGCAAAAATGGAAACAAACAAAAACCAAAAAAAAAAAAAAAGCTGGGAAATGTCCTCAAGTCTGTCCAGGGTTAACATGGAGGTATCAGTCAGGGAAGCCTTGTTCCCACCACTGCGCTCGTCCGTCTCATTCATGAATATCTCCCTCAGTTAGTTTGTCCGCTCCCAGCGAGATCCAACATGGCGGCTCTGTAGATATGGTGACATCTTAAACTTGCAGCCAACATGATGCCATCGTCATTAGGCAACACATTTCCCTTTTGTTTCTTTCTGATTTGAAGCAGGTGGATATCCATGATGGATGTTAACAAGTTTTCAAGTCCTGAGTTCCTCTGAGCAGCAGTTGAGATGTTTAAGCTCCAGGCTTTGTTTGTGTTCATACAAGTATATATTAATATTTATCATCATAAATGTTGGACAGGTGAATGTTGTTTTTTAACCATAGTTAGGAGAATTACGGCAAATAAATCAATGCCTTTTTTAAAAAAAAGAAGATTTTCAAACATTTAAAACACTTTAGCTGTGGTAAAAATACAATATATTCCCAATGAAGAAGCACCACGTCAAAACGTTGTTGATGTCATTCCTCTGCTGTTGTTAAAATGGTGTTGATGTGTCTGAAACGAGAAATAAGAGAAAGAAATTGTTTAGCAGCTGTATTAGAGCAAACTGTGATAATCATTAAAAGAGGGCACCCACTCACAGAGTCAGTGTTTGAAGCCACTGGAGAGTCCGTGGGAGTCGCCATTGGTTTGGCTGTAACCGTTTCCTACAAAGCAGGAAGAACACATAAACTTGAAATGTTCCACAGCAGCAATTATTTCAGTGATGTTTGAGGATGACTGTGAGAAACCTGTGATACCTGTGTATCCGTTGAGATGGCGGTGCACTGAACCGTTTGTGGGTGAGGTGTGGTTGGAGGGCAGTAAATGGTCATTTCTGCCATCAGCGCAGTCTGTTCGCCGCCATTTCTCTGGCGACAAACCATTGTCGTGTTTAGTGTCCTTGATTTCATAGTATCGTCTCTTGCGGCTTTCTCTCTCCTCGCTGCTTCTGCTCTTGTGGCTCCGAGCTGCCCCCGGGCTGTGCTGCTCGGCGTCACTGTCCCGCTGCCTCCTCTTTTTCTTCTTCTTCTTCTTTGTTTCAGCGGCTCGGTCTGACTCCACATCAGAGCTTCTAGGGGACAACAGGAGAGAGGCGAGCAAAGCGCGAGCGAGGGGGTGGTGTTAATTGCGTACAACTCATCATTAATAACACAGGCAGCGAGAGTAGTTGTGTGCTGTTGAGACGGTGAGTGTGATGTAGGAGTGGAGCGTGAGACGTGTCTGTGTGAGAGCGTCGGTGGAAGTAGGAGTGAGAGTGGAGAGGGGGTGAGGTCGAGGGATTCAGGTTACCTGAGTGAGTGGAGGCGGAGGGTGTGGGGTGGATGGCGGTTGAGTGAAACGGTGAAGGAGAGATGGACAAGTTGCGGAGTAGTGAGTTGTCGCAGAGGTGAAACGTGAGGAAGTGTGCAGAGGGGCGAGGCGAGGTGGAGGGCGAAGAGAAGAGGACGGCGTGTCCTCGACGGCGCGCTCGTCGGGGGACGGGGGCGGGTGTCTTTATCGCTGTGTGACGTCGTTCTGTGTGGTTGCGTGTGCTCGTGGTTTGTGTGTTTTAGGGAGCGGGGGCGTCAGAGCTGTCGCTGCTCCTGGGTGCGGTGATGTCGAGTGGGCTCGGTGTGTGGGTTTCGATCGTGCCTTGTGTGGTGGAGCCGAGGTTCAAGGACGGGTGGAGGAGACGGGAGCCGGGGAGGAGGCCGCTTGGAGCTGTTGCGGAGGTTGGTGCCTGCGAACTGGTGCGAGGGCGGAGAGGGGTCTGCCTCGATGTGCGCGGGTAGGATGATGCGTCTGCGCCGTGCCGGTTGCTCTTGGTCGTGTGGATGGCGGCGGAGTGGAATTCGTCGTACTGCTGCCGCGCTGCCCGGCCGTCGGCATCGTGCTAGGTGATGGAGGGGCTCCGTCGGGTGTATGGGGAGATGAAGCATGGTCGAAGTGGCGGCGCCGCTCGCTCCTCACTGGGTCACATTCCGTCGTCTAGAGTGCGTGGTGGTGTATGAGGGTGGTGGTAATGGTTAGAGCACCTGTCACGATCTCGCTCCCTCGGGTGGGGGAGAGCCCGCTCCCAGCGACGCTCGGGCTCCCAGTCCCTGTAGGAACGACTGTGAGGAGACAAGCGATCCCTATACGAGCGGTGGTGGCGGTGATCTCTGTAGTCCCGTCTGTAGCGATGGCGATCACCGTCACTTTCTCGCTCCTGACTCCTGTCCCTATAGTGTTTCTCCCTGTCTCTGCTCCAGTCAGAGCACAGTCTGTCTCTCTCCCTGTCCCGGGAAGATTGTTTTTCACTGCCTCTAGAACTGGGCTTGGACAGGTGTTGCTCCTTAGTATCTGTACGCCGTTCAGTCCCTGCAGACGGACCACTGGTCTGTGGTAGATCCGTTGCTTCATCCCCACCTCTGCTATCCTTTTGTGGAGCTGCAGAGGCCCCGTTGGTGCTTTGGGAGCAGTCTGGCGGGGTAGATAAGGCCGCATTGATGTTGCCATGATGGGCAGAGGAGGAAGCAGACTCTCTACACGTGACAGAATGGGTCTTTGTAGCAGTAGCGGAGGGTGGAGAGCTAACAGCGGAGGATGCTGTATGCTGAGGCAGCGGTTCAGACACAGTTTTAGCCCTTGTGTCAGGAGTGGAGAGCTGCTGGCTTTCACTGGCAGCAGGATGGATGCTCTGAGAACAACTGGCCTGGGATGAGGCAGAATTATGTGCCTCTTTGCTGGAAAAACAAAACACAAAAGCATATAAATATTGTTTTGTGTCACACTTTTGGGGTGCATAGTGTAAAGATGCAACCAAGTAGATTTTGAAACACTCCTTTGCTTACGATGTGGTCAACAATACCTTTATTCCAGCTTAGTGTCAGAGTGCTCATCTTACCTTGTTTGACTGTGGTCGCGGTCTACTCCATTAGCAGCAACAGTAGCCACGGAGGATGAACTGCCATGATTACTGCCATTGATCTGAGCAAAAACAAGACATGATTATTGATTTAAGCACACAACTATTGCTCATTCAGTAAACAATATATTATGAGAAGGTAGCAGAAACACACAGCATATTATTTACTTTGTTAGGGGCGTTGTGTCCATTCACTTTGTGGTGTCCATAATGGTGTCCGTTCTGACTGGATTTAGAGACACCATTCGTTGGTCCGTTTAATCCGTTGCCATTATGGTGCACTCCTGACTCTCCATTGGTGGCCTGAGGACATTTGTCAAAGACCTCTCCTGTTCTGTTGTTTCCATTGAGGTGAGACTTTGTTAAACAGCCGTTATCCAGAGTGCCACAGTTCTCCTGGTCCGATTCCTCTGATGACTCCTGGCTGTACGGCACCAGGAATGATGCTCCATTCCCTCCAGTGTGGCGATCGCCGTTGCTGCAAGGCGTGCCGTTAACGTGGTTAAGCTGACGTGGAACAAAGCGAATGTCTGAGTGGACGTCTGAGGTAGACTGTGAGGAGGATAAAGAGCTGGAAGAGGCGCTGCTGCTGCTGCTGCTGGCAGAGGACGGCTGGCTGTAAGAGGACGTGGAGGAGGATGGGCGGTTCTGTTTGCCTTGTCCAATGAAGAATGAAAGCTTCTGGCGTTTGTCATGGTCTGGGATCATTGTGGGTCTGCTGATTGAGTGGGAGATTGAAGAAGAGGAGGATGCCAGTCCATGGCTAGATTTTCCCATAACACTGCTGCTGGTGCTGGGCTTAGAGTTGGTGGGATAGTCCCTCAGAGACCCGTTCCCATTAACATGGAGAGTGCTCTGTGGGGGAAGAAAAAAGGACACAAAAACATGTTGAGTGTCTAGGTCAAACTGTGGCTGTGTATGTTAAACTGGTAACATTCAAATATGCATTTAGATGAAGCAAGCCTGCAGTACCTTGGTCATGTGTGGTGGCAGCTGGGGACCTATGAAGCCAATGTTGTTGTGGTGGACGGTGGGGTTGATGCGTGGTATCACCACCGGTCGCGGAGACGACTGGCCAGGGATGCCTGGATTATGGCTCATGTGGCTGTAGTCCCCTGTTTTCTTCACATCACTGGACCTAGTGACACAAAAGAAACACACATGACCAGAGTTGAAACATTACCACAAAAGGTTAACAAGTTAAAGAAGGATTTGGGCCTAATATGAAACGTAAATATTGTCAACCTATAAAAAATAAATCGTTGCTTTGATTACACGTCTGTTACGTTCTACACCACATCACTCATAAACCCAACAAATATTTTTAAATGTTTACTCACTTGATGTAGAAAAGGACATAGGCCTGCTGGTTGAGAACAGACCTGATGTCACTGACAGACACAGACGAGTCGTTCATCTGGTACCACTGCCCATTGCTCGCCTGGGAGACACAGTAGAACAGTTTGCAGGTTTTAACATATTTGCTAAACAGAATCATCATTGGTACACGTCCTCTCTTTCAAAATGCTACTTTTCTCAGTATCAGAATTGGCTTTGAACTGTATTCTTATATGGACTCAAACAAACACAGTTCTCAAACAAATATCAAGAGCAAGAGCTGCTGTAGGAACTCAGCATTAAACTTCTGTAGTGAGTTGTTGATAAAGTGTTGGAAACAATTGTGCATGTGTACTTGGCAACAGCAGCGCCCTGATAGATTAGAACAGTGGTCTGTAGCAGTGCCAGTACCTTAATATAGCAGAAGTAGTGTCCAGCATGACAGCTGAATCCAGAGTGGACCAGCACAGCAAACAGCCCGTAGACCTGGGGCTCCCCTTGGGACTGAGACATGAAGGGCCGCATGTCCAGGTACTCTGGATATTTCACATCCTGAAGACCAAAAAGCAGCTGATTACTATCAAATTACAGTCAACAGTACAGATTTTCAAAGCAATAGTAATAAATTGCAGTTGCTATAGCTACAGTATATCATTGTTCTGGATGTTGTAGGACACACGTCATGGTACCTTTGTGATTTTGCCTCCACTGAAGTTTGCAAACCGTTTGAGTGAGAGGGTGAGCACATTGGCGCTGCGGTGGATGGTAAATCTCTTTGAGGCTGTGACCATTTTTTTGCACCTAAAGGAAACAAATGTTCAGTTGGTTAGCATAGAAATAAATAAACTAACACACAGAAACATTGACTCTTTCTTGGCGTCTTATCTGAATTGCTTTTGTATGTAAAACGATGCTTACTTGGTGCATTTGTAGGCGTTTTCTCCATCCAGCTGTTCTGGCTTCACAAACTGCTCCAGAGCCTTGGAGACACTGGGAGCCGTCTGCATGGAGAGAAAAAATGTTTGGTACTGTTTTAGATCCTTGTGGAAATCTGAATTCACTGGTTTGATACACATTTGCAGTAAAACAGAGAATACACAATAAATATTGATAACTTACCTTAATTTCCAGAGTAATATCCAGAAAAGGGTCAAATGTATCAGACACTGCTTTGCAGTTTAAACATTTGACTGAAAAAGAAAAGACAGTTTATTTATTAGCCTAGCAAAGCTGTAAAAGAACAACTTGATTTCAGGTAAAAGAAATAAATCAAGGCAACAAATCAACACTAATAACTCACCTCTGGACCTTAGATACCCGCCGAATACTTGATGGATGAAAGTGGTTGCCTGCGTTTGCCTGTCCAATCTGTCACAAAGATAAATATAAGGATGAAAAACAACCAATACGGATAACGACATAATTGTCCTTTTAATCCAAAAAAACAGTCAAATAGGTTATACTGGTAGGGAGAATCCCTTTACAGTATTTTGCACTGACAAGTCACAGCATATTACAACCCAAAGAGCAGGAGTGAGAAAGGGGGGAATTAGAGCGAGAGTAATTAGTTGAGAGGCCACCTGTTACTACAGAATAAGATATCAGCTTGATACCTGACGTTCCTAAAAACCCTTTTTTTAAAGTCCCCTGAGAACCACAACGGTCTGCACAGCATATCTATAACCATAACCTACTTGGCAATGGCTCTACAGTGATTTCATATATTTCAGCTGAAGAACATGTATTCTTCAATCTATCTGCCTATTGCTTTTATGCCAGATTCAGACTGGAAGTCCTTTGAAGGATGTTCAGTGAATCATCACAATGCAGAATACACAGAATATAATAATATCTTTCTACCAGTTGATTACATATATTAATATAAAATAAACTAATTGTCTAATAAAGCCAAAATGTGTCGTCCCCCCTTTTCTCTATATGTATGGTTTTGGGAGTTGGATGAAACTTACTTGGTTCCAGGTAAGCAGGACTTTTGCATAGCATCCACTGTGTACCGCAGGAACTCATGGGCATCCTCTTGGCTTCCATAGCGGAAGTGCTTTGCAATCCCTGTGTGGAGAAAAAAAATAACACACACATCGTGAGATATAAGTAGTTGATAGATTATATCACACTTATACAAAGGTTTAAAATCAGAAATTATTTTAACAGCAGACTACAAACTCCCACCAGAAATTTCCCTCCAAAATCAAAAAGGTAAACAGCCACACAGCGCCTCCTGTCATTCATTTCAGGTCACTGTTTTACTGATACGGACACTTACTTTTGAGCTCATTGAGCACACCAATGGGCTTAATGACATTCCCAGAGTTGGCAAAAACCTGAATGATGTGGTTTTGCATGGTGCACATCATACAGAACCCCGGCTCGTGACCTGCAGCAGGGACAGATGGACAAAGAAACACTGATGAGTAAGACATGAATCAGGCAAGAAAGCAGCTCACAGATAGCTGCCGAAAGACTGATGTGATAATTATTGCATGACTGTACAATTACACAAGACTTCCTTGGTGCAAAAACACACCATGAAACGCAAACGTACATGTTTTGGAGTGTTCCCGTGTCAGCATGTAGTTGGCAAACGGAGGGGTGTAGGTGAGACACTGCAGGGCTGAGTTGAGGAAGCAGGTGTTCCCCATGTTCTGCAGGCCTGCACCGATGCGGTGAAACTGGGTCCACTTTAGGTTAAGCCGCTCTGGAGGGAAGAGGACCTTCTGGGGCAAGTCAATGCCGTCATCACTGCTTATAACTGGGCACAGAGAGCCAACGATACTAAAGTTACAGTCAATGCATTTACAAGGTCAAGGACATCAACAAGTATATATTATATATACACACATATATATATTACATTGTCTTTGTAAGCACAGTACATGAAGCATGTAAAGGAACACCAGGACATTACAGTCACAGCCATTACTCAGAGTTAGAGTTATATAATAAAGGAAGACTATAAAACAAGCTGAAGGAGACGGAGTTTGCTTTCTCTTTTGTTTCTGCTAAAGTTAGGCTGCTTCTCTTTATGTCAAAACAACAATTGCGTCACAAGCTCAAGTGATTGATCATGCTCTCAATTCAAACCTGGCCTGGTTATGTAACTGGATGAATGAAAGTAGAGTGAAAGAAGCAATACAACGCCTACAAAACCAGTTGTGTCACACACAAACACTAGCAAAAACTTTAGCTTCACTGGTGCAGCTCTGTACTTCTACTGTATTAAATTTCACAGTAAACAGTTCACAGTTTGCTTGCAAGGTTAGGACACATCAAGTACAGCCAATACAGTAACAGAAAGTGTAAATTAGCTAAATGGTCCTTTTCTAAAAACAGACAGTCATGATTGAAAAGCATTTTGATTTGAACCTGCATTTGTTAAGATGACAAAGTGTACAAAATATTGATTACCGGCCTCAACTGCATGCCTAACCGTACGGCTTAACAACATATGTCACAGACTTCTTCAGCGTGTCTACAATGGGTAACTGGAAGCAGAGAGTATAGCTCGGCTGAACCCGGGTCTGCACGCAGTGGATTATGGGTAACTTGCCAACAGTTTCCTCCCAGCTTTCACGCCACATGCATCATAAAAACACAGCTGTTCAAACCCCCCTGCTCCCACCTTGCTCCTTGGGCCGGTCCACAGAGGATGGTGTACTGTTGTAGACTACAGCTCCAGGCGTCGGGCCCAGGCAGCCTCCTGGAGCCTTCAGCCTCGGAGAGTCACCGGGCATGGTGGGACCCACTGCCCAGCTGCTGGAACAGCTGCCGTCCATCCCCACGTCTCCACTGGTGAAGGGAGATCGCTTACACCCGACTGACTCGTGGTCAGACTTTTCTGAAGATCTGTCAACTATGGTCATTGTTCATTGCTGTATGAGGGGCAGAAACGCAGAAGTGTACCACTTTATGAGCTGCAGAAAATACAGATAAAGACAGTCTAGAAAACACTTTTTCCCTAAATGTAAAAATCAAGAACAGAAGAAAAGTTTATTCACTGTCTCGGTTATATCCTTCACTATGAGAGCACACCAGCAACTGTGTAGCATTTTATTTATATAAGAAAGTAACCAAAGGGAGTATAAGAAGTGTGAAATAGATAAATCTCAAAGAATTCTGGTTGTATGTTATTATTATTATATTATTATATTATTATACCTAGCATTGTATCTTAAGACGCAAGAGGCCACAGTGTCTTGATGTGGGAGAAAAGTCCTGGCTCACACTTATCAAACGCATTAATAAACAAAAGCTATGAACAAGAAGTAGTAACAGTGACTGCAGCTCAGTAAAAACATTGGTCATTCATCCACCGCGTGTTTCTATCAACTAAACCAACTTCGCGCTACTACAAGTGGCCATTTCTGACTTCTTTACAAGGCTTCCTTTTTTTTTTTTTTTAAAAAGCGAACATCCGAAAACACTGTCGAGGTAACAACTTATACAGTAAATATGTTGAACTTACGAGCGCTAACATGAAAACGCTTTCGCCGCGCTAAAGTTGCCACAGTGAACGTTACTAGTTCAAACCCCGACAGAGGAAATGTCCTGGTCGGAAGCACGTTTACAACAACAGCTGTTCCCTCCCACCCGCTCCGGCAGACTGGCTCACGTTGGCTAACAGACGGCTGCTAGGCCTTTAACACGCAGCGCCGCTAAACCGCCACAAAACACGAAGTAAACCCCCATTAGCCCCCCGTGGGAGACGGAGCACTAATTAAAAGCTTACATTTCTCGCCCGACGCCGGAACTGAGTGGCGTAACGATGAGCGAGCGGCTCGCGAAGGCACCGACACCATGGAAACGGCGAACGTAACACATAGCTACCGAACGGAGCTAACGTTCCGCGGCGGCGCTCGTGCGGCAGTATTGATGCTAACGCTGCTAGCTCGCTCGGCACGATGGGAGCAGACTGACGCGGCGGAGAGCAACATAACCTTATTCTATGAATGTCAAAGGGGCGCTTTTTTGTTTCCACTTCGACACGGATTTGATTTACGAGCGTGGGCCCGGGCAACGGGACGTCTAGGTCGCTTAGACAGGAGGGGCTCGACACCGGCGGCTGTGTGTGCTCACTGCGCTGCTCTCTCCGACATGACAGAGAGCCGGTGTAAGGCTACTACAACTAACACAAGGGGCGCAGGCCAACCCGAACATCACGGCTGCACAGTTAAAGAGCCACTCGACCGTAAAAGCAACAACACACTCACCTGGAATCTGTTATGAATGCGTTAATAGCGGTTGTAAATCCATTCCTTATTCCAGCGGGTGTCCGGCGGTGAACAATGACGTAGCTAATTGCCCCACGGGTACATCCGGGTACCTGCGATGAAACGAGGTCTCTGATTGGCTCATTCGGCCGTTTCTCTGTGAGGAACGTGTTTCGGGAAGATCCGTCGCATGTACACACCTCTGACCTTTGTGTACATAATGTACAACCAACTGTGTGCTTAATGCCCACAGACTTGTACTGTAAACAGGCCTTCAGATGGACTTAAAAGCAAAGATCACTATATCTGCGTTGAATGGCCCATTTCTAAATAGATACCCACTGTATTTCCACAATTAAAAGTTCTCATATTATATGAGAGTGGCCAGTAACTCAACCTTTAAATCACCGCCGACCACATGTACACGCCAAAGAACAAATACATTTGTTTGAAAGTCCATACAAAGTGCCACTGTCCCCATAAAAACTAAATTGGAAGGATTGTTGTGTCCACAATTGCTTTTCAATTTCCTGACAATGGGCAGCTTCTTCGTCAGGATCAAGAAGCTGTACAAAACTCTCTCAAAAGTCTGCTTATAGGTCACTTTTTCAATTTGTTATAAGTGTAATACTTTGAAAGCAACATCTCAAATGATGAATAATCACATATTGCTTTTTAGAAACAGACAAGACATAATAGAAATAGGATTTATTGAACAGCTGAATGAAGATAAATAATTGCACCCTTACATCCAGGTGTACATGACGCACTGAAATGTTTACACACACACACACACTCTCTCTCTCTCTCTCTCTCTACCACTTGTACCAAGTCACCAAAGCATAGTACAGCAGTAGTTGAATTAATCAAGTTTTGACAGTCTGTGAAGTATTTTGAGATTTTTAAGGCTCAGGTCCTGTCCGACTCAGAGAAATGAACTGTCACTTGTGAGCTCTGAAGCAGACTGATCTGTTTCCTCAACTGTATGAGCTCTTCCTCCTGCTCTTCAACCCTTCTCTGCAAACTATGGATCACCTGAAAGGGAACAAAAAAAGAAAAGAAAATTATGATTATTATTATTAGGAACTTTAATGCAAGAAAGCTAGCCACACATACAGTAAAACAAAAGCTGTACATTATACATAATCCTAAAATGAATTCACATTTGTTTACAAACAGTAACATAGACATAGTATTTAAATTATTTTTTTAACAGCACAAAAAAGACATTGAGGGCTAACTATTCTTAGAGCCCAAAAATATATTCCCACATACTATGTCTTTACTGCAGAAGAGTTCACTCTGTAGAAGCTGGCTGGCCGTGGGTCGAACACCTGGTTCTGTACTCGTCAGCTGCGTGATGTACTTGGTCAGGACCGGCCATCTCTGGCAGAACGAGTCTGGGATTTTCCCCTCTCTTAGGTCTTCAAGGGTCCGGACCCGCTCCATCTCTGTCCCAAAGGGCTGAAATAGCTCGAAAGCCAGCACTCCAATGCTGTACATGTCTGACTGTGAGAGCAACAACAATACAAATAAAGTTTAGACTAAAAGTCATAAAGGAGATGACAATGGTGAAAGTTGATAAAGTATATAGCACAATAATATGTTGTGTTACATTGGAAAAAAAGTCGGAATTAATCAAAATGAATTGAATTGTCATACTATTAGTAGGTTTACCTTTGAATCATAATGCGAGCCCTTTAGTTGTTCTGGTGCAGCATATACAAAAGTACCAACACCTGTAGTATGTGAGGAATCTGAAAAAGTACACCAGAAATGTGACTTTAAAGCAAACAGCGCCATCTACTGGTGATGCTGTGTAGTACTGTATCTCAAGGTGTAGTATTACCACTGCTGCCAGAGGTGCTGCTTTTATGCCCATCCATTATTATATCTCTGCATGCCAAACCAAAGTCCCCAATCCGAACATGACAGTCCTGACCGTGGAGGAAAATGTTCCTTGGCTGTGGAAAAAATATTACAATTAAATCAAATGAAAGATATTACAATTAGTTCCATATGTCTCTGGATGTGAAGATGCAGATGTCTAAGGTTTGTGCATGTGAGATAAAGGTGTTTTATTTAGAACACATTTTCCCCATGAAGAAGGCTCTGAGGATGGATTCTGCATGACATGTACATACTGGATGAAGACATCATAAAAAGGTGAAATCATTCAGACAAATCACATCACATCACATAAACTATCCAATTCAAATTTGGAAATACTGTTTTTAATTTCCTGCATTTCAAAAGATGGAGTGGTAAGCATATAAGCTCTGACAAAGTAATAATTCCCTGCTTTCCTCTGCCATAAGCAGCGGAACAACCTGTAAAGTGCTCAAAGGGGTGTCACCAGTCCCCATAACTGGCCCCCGCATGCAGCAAGAAGTTATCAGTAGCAACAGGAAGACCGTACATCAAACTTAGACACGTACCTCTCAAACCTACATGATGAAATCGGACTGACTGAAAACACCTAACACAGAAAACAGAAGTAGCCGCGGAAACTACCAAACACAGAAAACAGAACTAGCAGATAAGCATTTTTTGATTTTCTCTCCTTAGAGTGCCAAATTAACTGACATGCCTCTGAGAAATTTAGGCTTGCAACCGGAAACCAGAATAACCAGCTTTCAACCACCACACATCTTGTGAAGGACTAAACACAGACAGTGAAGCTGCGATGACTGGTCACGTTGAAGGAGAGCAAGGAACGTCAGGATATGAGTGATAACATTATCAAGTTTCACAACAATGAATTCTACACTGCAATTACGGATGAAGACTCGGAACGCATAGAAGACATGTCAAAAAAGTATGGCAGCAACTTCCTCATCAAGATACAAGACGGTGCACCCGGAGAAGTTTTGTGGAAGGTAAATGTATCAATGCAACTATTTTAAAAATTACTTCTGAGAACTGGAAGATGTTAAATATAAGTTTAATTATAATTCATAAAGTATTTCTGATTCTGATTACATACAAATTGCCACATGGACAGAACCATAGCATCTTTTATATTAAATACTGACAGCGATAACCACAAGGAGGTCAGGGATCATTCACAAATGTCACGTTTATGCTATAATTAAATTTATGAAGATAAAAAAGACGTTTAAATGAAGTACTTCTTGGGGTGTTGAAAAACTGAAAAATATTTGTGTTTTACAGTGCTCGAGTTTGTCTTGTCTTGTCTTGTCATGCCTTAGGATCTTGCTATCCTCCCCCTTCACCTGGCTGCCTCTTACAGAAGAGTAAAGAGCATGCAGAGCCTGCTGTCAGCAGGGGCAGACCCTGAAATGAGGTCTGCACACACACATACACACACACATACACACGGACAAGCATACAAACATACACAGCAACACCAAACATCACCCCCTTCAATGCAGTGTTACATGAGGTTGTTTTTTCTCATGGTATAAGGGGTTTTTGAGATTAACTTTTTTTTTAGCTGAGTTGATTTAGTTTATTTCCTAAAATTAAGAAGATCACATATTCAGCTTATTTCACTTTTGGTGACTTGACGACTTCCTGTTTCTACTATAAAGTGACAGCCAGTAAAACACCCTGCACATCGCTGGTTTAATCTCTTAATAAAAAGCCGACATCTCTCCACCTGCACCAGTTTCACTTTTTATCCCTCTGTCACAGGGACCGGCTCGGTCAGACCACTCTGCACTTGGTGATAACTGGTTGGCCGAGCAGCCTGGCTGCTTGGCCAAAACCAAGTAGCAAGGTCCAGACTGCTGTGAGCGGCGTGTGCAGGCAGGCAGAGGCCTGTCTGCGGCTCCTCTGTGAGCACGGCGTTAACGTCAATGCAGAGGTGAAACGTTTTTCATGTAGCAAATCAATGTTTGACTTATTTACATTTCCTATCTATGAAATCTATCAGATAAATAGAAAAAAAAATAACTGAGTAAAATGAGTAATTTGATGTTTAAATCTAAAATCTTTTTGTAATTCCTCTTCCTTCATCTTTCAGGTGGAGGGAGAGAGTCACCAGACAGCTCTCCACCTATCGGTACGCTACGCAGCTCTGTCTGCCATCCATATTCTGGCCAGCTATGGTGCTGATGTTAATGCTGTGGACAGCAGTGGGATGACGCCCCTGCATATGGCCGCTGGGATCCTCCGTAAGGACATTATAGCCAGTTTGATCAAGGAGGGAGCAGATGTCAACATGGTTTGTGTTATTCCTCTGTTGTTGTTGTTGTTTTTTGCTGTGTTTTTTTCTGACTTAAACTGTCACAATAAATCACAAAAGAGAAACACAGAGGACCTTCCACAGCACTTATTTTGACATCTACTTAGCTTTACACAGCTGTAATTAATTACAAATAACGGCTATATTCCACAGTTTACTGGGATACCTGAGCCAGCGTTATTTATAGTAACACCTGTACTTTTCCTGCTACGCTAAGTCTAAATGTCTGTCATGAAAATAAAATAAAGTAAAAAGTAAAAAAATAAGAATACTGAATTCATGAAATGTGTCCAGCCCACAAACAAAGAATACGGCTTATTTGAGCCCTTATGCCATCAAGTAAATCACCAGCAGTGTAGGTCACAATAACATATTGAAAACACTAAATTCACTAGAATATTTTAGATTTTGTATCTTTTACAGAGTTCAATTGTTCTCTATTTTCGGTTTCATTGACGATAACTGATCATATCTTAATTGAATTTAAATGTTTTAAATATACCTACAGAAAACACAAAAAAATCTTAATTCATATGCAAATATTGCTGTGCAAAGCAATTCTTCAGCGTCAATTTCCTTTTTCTCTCACTTTACTGGCCTTTCAGTGCTCATAATCGTGTTGAAATATGTGCATTAGGTTCTACATCTGTCCTACATTAAATTCTTGACTATTTTCAAGGAGGTGAAGCAGTCTGGGAACACTCCTCTTCACCTCGCTGCTGTGGCGATGACTATGAAGACCACTAAAACCCTGGAGGACAACACATGCTGCATTTCTGAGCTGCTCGAGCAGGGGGCGACGGCCAATGCAGTGAACAAAGCTGGACTGACACCTTTACAGGAAGCGTGCAGCATGGGCAACAAGGAGCTGGTGGACGTACTGCTCAGGTATGGAGCCGACATAAATAAGCTGAACAAAGCAGGAGAGAACGGTCTGTTCCTGTTCCTGAACCACAGGCCTAATGTAAGCAACAGATCTCTGCTGGTGAAACTCATCAGTCTGACCTCTCCGCTCACTGTGTACAACCACAAAGGCCACCTGCCTTCAACCTTGATGCTTCCATGTTTCTTCAAACAGAGAGACCAGCTACTAAAACTCATTCAGCAGCCAAGGAGGCTTCAGGATATTTGCAAGCGTGAAATTTATCTAAAACATGTCCAAGACAAGGGAAAACAGCTGATAAAAATCTTTCCTGAGAGGCTATATGACTTTGTATTCAACTACTGGGAGAATTTACAAATTTCCTTTGAGACAGATGAACAGGACTCTTTTAACGTATATGATATTGCTCCTATTTAACACCTGTGTGTCACTGCAAACTGCATGTGACCCTCATCTGATCAAATAAAATCTATCGAAGCAGCTTACCTTCAGGTCTCTGTGCATGATTCCCCTGGAGTGAATGTACTCCACCCCTTTAAGAATATTTCTCAGCAGGCTGAGTGTGTGTTCAGTATCAACACATCCATATGGACCTGGAAATACAAATGTATGATATATTTATTTTCCAAAAAAAAAAAAAAAAGAAATAGTTATGCAATGGACCAATCTGTAATGGACCCATATAATACTGTAAAGTAATGCATGTGTCAAACAGTTACCTTTTGAGGTCTGTTCTTCTTTGGGCTTGGCGTTCCTGTCAGAGATCCAGTCCTTCAGTGAGCGCTCACACAGCTGCATCTGGATGTAGAGCATCAGGTGGAACTGTACCTGCAAATACAACCAAACCGTAAGTAAAAACTTTACATTGTTTTTTTGGTCTACATTTCACTGTACATCATTTTAACACAAAAATCACACCATTTACTTTCAGTAATCAATCAATATTCATCTTTGTAATATTTTGACTGATCACTCAAAGCCTCTTTAGGCATCTACCTCTTTGGGAGGCTTTGTTGTGCGAATGTCAGCCCACTCCTGACATTCCTTGTCGATGCAGGAGTTGTTGTTCAGTTCAATGCTACTCCTGCTGGATTCCTCCTCTAACAGTGCTGAACTGTCCCAGCCCGTGGCAGGACATTTGGAGCCCTTTATGAGATCTCGCTGTCCCAGGAACACACAGGGGACGTAGTTCTCTGGGATGCGACGCATCGTCTTGGGACACACCACCTGGCCCTTCTCTTGGGTTGGGACTAAAGCTCTGACTTTTGCACTTGAGGCAGTATCTATTGGTGCTTGACTGAGGCTTTGAAAAACTATTGAGGAGCTGCTGCTGTCAGGGCTCTTATCAGAACTGCAAATGAAAGAGTTGAGACAGATTAAATAATGACTATTGCTACATCTACATGCCCTTAGATAAATACTGTAGCATAAACAGTGTTTGAAATATATATTTGATTTGCCAAGAATAACTTCTACCAGTTAAAAATAACTAATAATAATACATTCTTGGCAGAAAGGTGTAACCTTACCCACTTTTAATGCTATTTATATAGCTTATATAATTAAGTTTAGTGGTTAATTACATAAAAAATAAGTTTAAAGTCCATAATTCATCCAAAGTAGTCGACCACGAAGTAAAAATGTTAGAAAAGTATCAATAATAATCCTAATAAACAATATTTAATGAACAATACTAGGGTTGCAAATTACAATTAATTCTGTTATCGCTTAATATGTTGATTATATTCTTCTCAAAAAATGGTGAGAAATGTCCACAACAATTATTGTAAGTTATTGGATCCTACCTGTCTTGCTGTCCAGGTGATTCCAGTGCAGGCAGGAGAGACTCAGGCTCTGCAACACAGATGTGTTTCACATAAACTCTTATGATAGGAACAGTCAGTGTAATTGTTCATAGTGCGGTTTGGTAAGACCACATATTTGTAGCACTTTACTCATTTACAATCCACTCAGACCAACAAACTTGTCCCAGGACAGCAGTCAAATACTCACGTGTCGCAGGCTGAACATGTTCCATCCATGCAGTGTGGTAGCCAACAACATTTACATGCTGCAGGCTGGACAACACTTTGACTTCCCTGAGGACCTGGAGCCCAAAACAAAATCCAATCATTAGTCTATTATATCTCTGTATTTGGGCGTAAAAAGGCTCTGCTGATAAAACACTAATGGCCCACCTTCATGCAGTCATCCTTGGAGACTTTTTTAATGAGAATTTTCTTTACAGCGTAATGTTGTCCGTCCAGTTTGTTTATAACCTACAAGATGATGTCGTAGATGTCATGAATGTGTTGATCAGCTCAACTTGTGCTCCTCTTGAGAGGAGTTTGTTAAAATAGAACAAAGTAGTAAGGAGAAAAATACCTTATGCACATTTCCATATGATCCTTTTCCAAGTCTACATATTTCTTCAAATTCACTAAGATATCGGGATGTCTGCGCTTGAAACAGTCCCTCCTTTGGTCTATGAGAAACACAAAATTATAATTATGTTGCTTTATGTATTTCTTCACATACCCCAAGTGTAATAATAATGATAATAATAATAATAATAATAATAATAATAATAATAATAACAAATATTCCTCTGAAGTGCAACCTACCTTAGTGCAGGATTGTGTGTGTTTGTGCCGAAACGTTGTTGGCCCTGCAATATGAAAAGAAGATTACCAAAGTAACAATTAACATGTGATTGTACCTGTAAGTAAACAGTTGAAGCACTTCCCAGTTTACAAAAGTCTTATCTAAGTTTGCTGCTTTGATCAATACCTTTACTGACAATGTCTATTACACCAAGTAGAAACACTGACTTTACATAATTTGTTAAAAAAAAAAAACTACAAAAAAGACACCTAGTAGACATACTGGTGATCAGTCCAGTTACCTGTGGATACAGCGAGGAGCTGGCAGCATGAAGCAGCTCAGTGAAGGCCCGGTTGTGCTGCAGTCTGATGGTGCTGAACTCATCACTTATGGCCAAAGGTGAGAGGAGGTTCATGGCAGCTAAACGCTGGCCAATGACTGTCAACGACAAAATTATTTGTAACAAAATATGAACTTAATAACAAACAGTAATGTCAAAGTACTATATGTAGACAGAACGCGCTTTTACAGTTTTAAAACAAGCTTTCAATACCTTTACATAATCTCAGTACATACCTTTAAACAGCATGCGCGAGCGTGCTGGATTGCTCTCATAGACGAAGCATAGGTGCTCCAGTAGAGACCCCAGAAGAAGGTGGTTGGGGATTGCTGAAGCAAACTCCTGGATGGACAGGTATTGTCTACCAGCCATCAACACCTCGCGGTTATCATCTGTGTCAGAAGCTGAGCACACAAAATAAAATATATATAAGAAATAGGAAACAGTGAATAGCATAATTTTTCCTATCAAATATTCTTTATTTAACTACTGCAAATTATACATGCGGTGTATTATTGTGTCAGTACTCATTTTCATCTTTATAAAACAAAAATATAGTCACTTACATTAATATATAGATAAAATAAAAGATACAGGGTTGTATTTGAGAGTTTGACAGTATCAGATTGCATCGTTTGTTGCAAAATGCTCAAACGTGTAACACAAAACAACAATTCAGATTATATTATATACTTAGCTGCACATACACATATAACCACCATATATATTCTCTTTTGTCTTACCTTCTTCAATAACTTTTGCTATCATTTCAACAATGTTTTTGTCTCCTAGGTCCATTTTTCTGTATAGAAAAACCTTTGGTCCAATATTAAGCACTCAGAACTGCACTAATGATTATCCTTTTCAGATCCATTTCAAAAAATTGAGCTCATCTTGTTTATACATAGGGGGGCGTGCACAGCAGTAATGCTTATCTGCCTGTTCCAGCGGACACCAGCCCCCTCCACCTAACTGTACTCACACAACCAAGCTCATCACTGTGCCAGAATGGAAAGGAGGGGCTGTTTCTTCCGGCAAAGTCATCTGACAATTTACTTTCATTTCATCATACAAGAGGATGTGTGGAGGGGCAAGTCTTGACTTGTTTTGAAGTAGAAATGTTTTGCTGAACTAAGATTTGACTTGATTTTAAATCCTGATGATGTCACTAGACCCATATAAACTAAATTGTCACCAAACGTTTGTATAAGATCTTACACATGAAGGTCAATTTACTTGTCATGGAGAGTACTACCCAGCCTGTGAAAACAGCAGTATAAAGTTATCTGTGGCACCGGTGGGAGCTTTCTAAAGTCTGAGAAAATAACCCTTATGATGTCATCAGGGTAAACCTGAGTCCGGCTTGAGGTTTTAAACACTTTCCACAAACAGAGTGAGGAAGGATGGAAAGATGCTGTTAAGTTGCATTATGGGAAATGTAGGATCTGCCAATTTTGAACCTAAACTCCTACTAGGAAAAAAAAGTCTGTATATCCATGCATCTGTTGCTTCGATTTGACCTGCTATTTTTAGTCTGTCGCGCAAACGTTTTCCTACTTTATGTATGTGAAGTATCAAATTGCTGGAGTGGCCCTTGAAGCCTGTTGATTAGGGTTGGACTGTACAGAAATAGATGGCACATTACCCTTTTTTTCCCCCTGTAAATACCAAGTGCCCTTTACTGTTGACTGTTTATTCTTATGTCTTTTCTATTCACTTGCTTAGTTAGAACTGTGCACTATTTATTTATGTTTTTATACTTAAAGTGTTATTTTATTTTATTTTTTATTGCCTGTTTGCACCGTGGTCCAAGAGGACCGAAATTTCATCTGTGCTGTATGTCGTGCATGTANNAGCTGACTTTGACTTTGACTTTTTGACTTTGATTTTGATAAGGCCTTCTTCTAATGTTGATTTATACCACAGTATATCAATACGCTGATTAATACAACAATATATCAATATATTATATCATTCTGAATGGAGGTCGACTGGTGGATGCTGGTCACTGCCCAAAAATCTGAGTTATGGATGAGTTTGATTTAATGCATGTTGTTTGGGTGTGGACAGAAATTAACTCTAACTCTGCTTTTTATTAACTGCAAACTATTTCATAATGTTTTCATTATTAAACCATTTAATAAAATGGTCATAGGTGCATACTGAAGCATTAGTTAACTTGTTATTGCATTTCTAAAAGCTGATGATATAGTAGCTTTACCCATTTACCTGCTGTGGTACCTGCACAAACTAAATAAATACTGAAAGGAAATGAATGATATCTGTAGATTAAAGGTAGGGTGACACTTTACTACAGTTAAGGGGGAGTCAGAGTCCTGTTGTTCACATGTCCTATTGTTCCTTAACTACGCCCCTGGCTGTTTATACGTTTACAAACTTTTACGACTCATAATCGGACGTTTTATTCTGCCATTATTGTGTCGGGTAATATGGGATAACCGCCCCCCAACCCAACTCATTACAGATCAGTAAAGGAAGCAACAAGAAGAAAAGCTGCTTACTGTCAAACTGCACTTCCTCGTCCTCTTCGCTTGCCAGACTTAACAGGCTGACGTTACTGTCGACCTCGGGTCTCTTGATGGGTTTAATGTTGTGGTGGACCAAGAGGTTGCTACCAGAACCTTCCTCCGACCGCAGCAGCCCGTTGTTGGAGGTTGAACTGTACATTTTTATATGTGCAAAGATGATGAGCAGTCAAAACAAAGTACTTTACCGTAACAGCTACCCCATATCCGCTGTAAGATCCGTGGGAGTACTCTTTAAATCCCCGCTGCTCATATGTTTACATGCTGTATCGGAAGAGACTAAGAATTGTCAGACAAGTTACATATGGTCGGTCTTGTCAACGGACGGCCATGATTCCCCCAGAGGGACCGTCTGACAATGTACGTACCTGAGTTACAACAAAATTAACTGATTCAAATAAATAAATAGTCAAAACCAGGATAAAATAAATATATTTGCTGTGTTATAATATACATATGATTGTACAGCTTCAACATATTTAAAATAACCCTGCAACAAAAATATATTTATTCGTTTTTTACAATAAGAGATAATTGCACATGCGCCCTAACATCTCGACATCTCGTGGGCTGGATGATGAAACGCTACAAAGTTTGCGGACTTATTAATGCACTCATATTGTTTGACACTAATATCACTGTACTCATTTTGTGTTCGTTTTGTGAGTTTGCTTTGTTCACACACTTAACATTATTACTTATAATAGTCAAAATGCGCAGTTTGTGCGCACGGGTGACGCTCGCGAACCATGTGCGCACTCGCGCGGTACAGCTTCACTTTTGTGTTTACATGATGTCGTGAAACTAAAACACACTGACTGTATATTGTTGTTTAACAATGGCGAATAATAACTAACGAGTGTCTCCTCCTTCCACTGTTCCAGAGTCAGAAACCTCCTGAAAGCCTTTTACTCTTTGAAGATGTCTGATGCTTGGTAAGTTAGCTACCAGAGTTATTTCTTTATTTTACTTGCCTGCAGATATTTTCGGTTTTACATCATGCAAATAAAACGTGTTACATTTTAGACCCTTCCCTCTTCATGTAGATTAACTTGAACCTGGACACCACTCAACTGGGAAATCTGCAAGTTCATGTATATTTTGTAGCCTAAATTACATTTAAAAAAACACATGTTCGTTATTATAGAGCACATTTATAATATAGTATAAGTATAACCTCCAAGGAATATTTATTTATTTAGCAGGACATCATATGTTATAATTAAATCAGCTGGAATCCCCACAATCCCCCTGTATTCATCACAGATCAGATGGTTGAAGGAGCTTTAATTTTATTTCCCCTACCTCTCTGTACATGTAATAAGTCTGTTGCTGCAATATAAATTCAGCAGAAGGTAGAAATATACATCACTGAGTACTGGTTTCCTTCTCAGCAGCTCTGAACCTGCCAGAGCCATCAAGGCCATTGACAAGCACTCAGTACATCAGATCTGCTCAGGACAGGTGGTGCTGACTTTGGCGACGGCTGTCAAAGAGCTGGTGGAGAACAGCATAGACGCAGGGGCCACCAACATTGGTAAGTATTGATGCACACAGTGTAATACTGGGGGTTTGATAGTCCTCCAGCCCTCCACGAGAGCCTGGCCACAGTTGTGAATGCTGTGTTACAGTCCAGTACAGTTGGGCTGAAACTGCAGTGTCATGTTTTGAGTTCAGTATCACATCGTTTCTCCAGATGTCAGACTGAAGGAGTGTGGAGCTGAACTAGTGGAGGTGTCTGACAATGGCAAAGGAGTAGAAGAAGCCAACTTTGAAGGACTGAGTAAGTGTCATTTATTTATCTCCCCGCAGTTAGTCCAAGTCTAATTCACTTTTTTGGTGAAGTGAAATTTCTTCTTTATCTTCCGCAGCATTAAAGCATCACACGTCAAAGCTGAGGGACTTCTCTGATCTCATCCATGTGGAAACATTTGGCTTCAGAGGTGAAGCCCTCAGCTCTTTATGTGCTCTGAGGTAAACGCTTAAACAGCCACATTCATTCAGCACATAAACTTGTGTCACCTCTCACCTCATCAGCTAAGATTCCCCTCCCTCCTTCCTGCTCCCAGTAATCTGAGTGTAGTGACGTGCCATGAGTCCAGTCAGGTCGGGACCAAGCTGGTGTTTGACCACAAAGGGCACCTAGTACAGCAGTCACCCCATCCCCGGCAGCAAGGCTCCACAGTCAGCCTGCAGCAGCTCTTCTACACCCTGCCTGTTCGACACAAGGAGTTCCAACGCAATATCAAGAAGGTAAGTCATAAAGGATCATTCATTCTCTATGTTTCTGTACACTATTTAACTACAAATCACATCTTTCTACATTCTCGGCAGCATTGATTTCAGTTCATGTTATATATAATTGTCTTGCAATTACTTTACACTTACTTGGGATTAGCAATACATAACAGTGAACATTTAGTTGATAATTTTTTTGGAAAGTTACTTTATCATCACATGTAAACGGAGAAGTGGTGGTGCATTCATTATCTGGTGGGTCCTTGACCTTCTTAAGGAAAGAAACAATCAAATGCACATTAAACATTTGACATAGCTCATTTTATCCACAATGCTCTTCTTCAAGGTTTCCTTGCTAAATGTAGACTCTATGAAGCCCTGAATGTCTGAGCTTCCCACCAGCATGTGAGCACACCACCTGGAAGACTTTTTAACTTTGCAATCCATGCTTTTACGTGTATTCTACAAAATTTAGAAAAGTGTGATTGATCAACCAGTTTATCTCAAACCAGTTGATTTTCATACCATGAATGGATTCCAGTGGAGGCTAGGAGGAAAAGAAAAAACACGTAATCGATGCAAAAATGAAGTGTAACACAGGACAATGACATACGAAAGCACCAATGTGAACGCAGCGAGAGTGACATACTTAACGTAACATAAATATTAAAATTAAATCTGAAGTAAAATTCTTCTCTCAGAGTACAATATGACTTTTAATTCTTTGTAGTTGTCATTTTTCGTAGTATCTTAGAATTTATTAGTCTAGAGCCGGTGGCTAATGAAACTACCTGTGACATTCATCTTTAATCCGAAATGTTTGATTGTTTTGTATTTTCAGGAGTATGCCAAAATGATACATATCCTGCAGTCCTACTGTGTCATCTCTACTGGAGTGCGTATTACCTGCTCCAACCAAAATGGGCAGGGAAAGCGCAGCACGGTCCTCAGCACCAGCGGCAGCCAGAGTATGAGAGACAACATAGGGGCCATATTTGGACCAAAACAGGTTGAAACATTTTTCTTGACTGTACTGTTTATTAGCAATCTGCAGAAGGCGTCAGTGACTGTATGACTGCTGTGGGACAATGGTCTCAACTCTGCTGCCTTGAACTAAATGAAACACTTTTCTTCTATCTTAAATCAAATTCCAAGAGTTGAGGAATCTCCCCAACTCTTAGAGGAACTGCGTAATTCCTCAGTTAAAGAAAAATATGCCAACTTTTCCTTATTTGGTTTGCTAAATATTTAATTTCATTGTCTGTTGTGTGTTCTGCAGATACAGAGTCTTCTGCCTTTTCAGCAAGTGTCCCCTACAGAAAATGTTATTGAAGAATATGGACTCAAAGATGCAGATCTACCCAAACAACTGTTTTCGTGAGTGTCACCATCTCACTGTACCTGTATGGAAGTCTGATGTATGTATGTCTTCTCTGCAAACAAAGCAGTGTTGTTGGTTTTTTTTTTAATAAAAACTGTTTTGGCAGCATCACAGGGTTTGTGTCACGAGGAGACCATGGTGTTGGGAGAAGTGCCACAGACAGGCAGTTCTTTTTCATTAACAACCGGCCTTGTGACCCCCTTAAGGTAACTCGTGTTCAGCTTAAGTCCCCCTGTTTAGCATTTATAAGCAGTATACATTTAATAATGGTTTATAACACTTATATTATTTAGTTGTAAGCAGATGTAAGGACATTTTTAAGTCTTTATATAGACATATTCTATATAATTCGACAGTCATTCCGGCCTCTACTTCTGGGTGCCCACAGGAGGATTTATAGTTGCTGAAAACGACATAATAAACATATCTGCTTGCAGCTTCAGCCTCATTTATTAAATGTTTATATACTGTTAATGAATGCTAAATAGGGGGATTTAAAATAAAGTATTAAAAGTTTCCTACCTAACCTCTGTTTATTCCCAATTTTCAGGTGACCAAACTTGTGAACGAAGTGTATCATATGTACAACAGACATCAATATCCATTTGTTGCCTTGAACATAGCCGTTGCTTCTGGTAAGCAAATTGCTGAACCGAAGTTATTTGAGAAGCACAACGCTGATTTTCTGTTCTACATGAGAGATTTTGTGGTGTTATTTCAGAGTGTGTGGATGTGAACGTCACCCCAGACAAACGCCAGATTTTTCTTCAAGAGGAGAAGCTCCTATTGGCTATTCTGAAGACGTCTCTTATCAACATGTATGAGGCTGGAGTCAATAAGATCAGCCTGAACTACACACCCATACCCAGCACCAGTAAGAACTGATCATAACATATCGCCTGCATATCAACACATAAGATGTATATATTTATATTATAGTCACTGCTTTTATTCTGTCACTTGTCTCTAGATACAACCGCATCTGAAATCTGTCAGGTTGTCTCATCTAATGACAACAAGGCAGAACCCGGAGAGGAACCCGTCACTCAGAGGCCAAAGTCGTCACTAAACCTGGCCGGCCTAAAAGCTGCCTTTTCAAGTCATCAGAGCTCCAATTCAAGTGTGTCGAAAGCTGCCAACAGTGGCCCAACACAGAAAACACTGCAGTCTTTTTTTAAAGGCAATGTAAAAACTCCTACCTGCACCCTGAGTGGGAAATCTCCTTTGAAACCCACAAGAGATCTAGCTAAATGCTCCCCGGTGGGAAAGTCAGTGCTGGATGGGTTCAGGTATGGAGCAACGTTCAGTGATACAGACTCTGAAAAAGACAGCGCTGTGTCCGCTTGTGACGTTACCATGGCAACACCAGATATTCAGCGTTCTGGCCTGGAGTTCAGAACACCTGAAACAGACACCGACAGACCCGCTGTGAAAGACGAAACATTCGAAGAAACGTCTGACCATAGTCACGCTGTTGCTGAAGACCCAGAGTTACAGACTGAGCCGTGCGTCTCCAGTGAGGACTGTACTGTGAGTCCGGATGCCAAAAGGGCCAGGACAGAGAAACTACAGTTCCCTACAGAACAGAAATCCAACACTTTTTCACACTGTTTTGAGAAATCTTCCTTGACGGTGGATGCTCCAGTCTGCCTACAGAGGAGGACGGTGCCTCTCCAGTTCTCTTTACAAGAGCTGGCAGGGAAGGTGAAGAGGTTAGAGGACCAGCGGAAACAGAAGGCCGATGACAACCTGCGTTATCGGCGCTTCAGGGCCAAGATCAACCCTGGAGAAAACCAGAGTGCAGAGGAAGAGCTCAAGAAAGAGATCAAGTAGGATTTTCCTCCTGTAACTGAACTTGCCAATATTGTCGTGTAATTTCCACAACAATAAATTATCTTCATTATCTTTCCTACAGTAAGGACATGTTCAAACAAATGGAGATCATTGGTCAGTTTAACCTGGGCTTCATTATCACCAAACTCAACTCAGACATCTTCATGATCGACCAGCACGCCACAGACGAGAAATACAACTTTGAGATGCTGCAGCAGCACACTGTGCTCCAAGGACAGAAACTCATAGTGTATGAATGTAAATCAGCTGATACATTTTACCTTGTGTTGTTTAAAGTGATATTTCTACTGACTATTTTTGTTTTTTTCCTTTATGTTTGCAGCCCTCAGAAGCTTCACCTCACTGCTGTCAGTGAAAGTGTACTCATAGAGAACATTGAGATCTTCAGAAAGAACGGCTTTGAATTTCTTGTCGATGAGGAAGGTATGAACGTTTAATCCTTGAATGCTAAAGATTAAACACTAGTTAATTTTATCAGCACGTTTACAGATACTTAAACCAGCTCTCTTTGTTTTTTTATCGTGACTGCAGCTCAGGTAATGGAGAGGGTTAAGCTGGTATCTCTGCCCACCAGTAAAAACTGGACATTTGGCCCAGCCGACATTGAAGAGCTCATCTTCATGTTGAGTGACAGCCCGGGGGTCATGTGTCGACCGTCCCGCGTCAGGCAGATGTTTGCCTCCCGAGCTTGTCGGAAATCTGTAAGTTTATAGTGACAATAAATAGCCACTTAAAAGTATTTTCACATATTTAAACAGACCAGGTTCTGGTCTTAATTAAATAACATTACTAACACACTTGTCTTGTTTATGTGCATCTTCAGGTGATGATCGGCACTGCTCTGAGCGTCAGTGAGATGAAGAAGCTCCTGGTTCACATGGGGGAGATTGAGCATCCATGGAACTGTCCTCACGGCAGACCCACCATGAGACACCTCGCCAACCTGGATATGATCTCACTAGACTGACCACATCAAGGAAGCAACCTTACTTCACACTGGCTTAATGTAACTGGAATGTGCTTTCATTACAGTTTATTTCTGTTAAACATCACCCTTGATAATATACCAATACACAAGAAGATTGAGTCCAAACCATAGATTCTGTATATTTGTATGGTCGAATGCTTGGTATTGATTGTTTAGTGTGTTTTTTCTTTATATCTGTTAAGGTATGTTGTGATTTTATTTGTATTTTGCATCACAAAATAAATGTTTTTATATTTTAGCACCCAATTAATCGGGGGAAATAAACAAGATATACAGCAACAAGTGTTGCCACCTTCTGTTTTCTGTACTGTTGAGAAAATGGACCCAGTCAGTGTTTTACTGTTATCCAAAGAGTCCAAAAGGGTTTTAAATAGTTTATGTAGCTTAAGATATGATGATTTTCTCAACCCATAAAGGAACACTTCATCCTTCAGGTTATCCCAAAAATTAAAAGTCAAAATCACCAAATGTGGAAGTACATGGATTTCACTGAACAGATAGATGTAGTAAAAAGTTCTGTATTTATCTGTGAGATATAGTAGAGTAGAAGTATAAGGTTGTAAATACTCAAGTCCCTCTTGAAAATAGTAACTGTACTTAGTAATATTCCACCACTAGCCCCAGATGTTGACTGTATTGTCCTTTTTGACTAAGTAAGGTTGCCGTAGCTGTAACCCCCCTTTACTGTTACCATAGAGACGGCCCTGGCTCGCTCGAGAGATAAATAAACAGCGCAAAATGACACAGGGCGAAGAAAAGAAGAAAACCAGGATGAAAGACGATAAACGGGAAAACAAGAAAGCGTGCGGGGGCGCAGAGCTGCCGCAGACAGCGGGGGGGAGAGACACAATGAAGTTAGTGAGCTCCTCTGATAGTTCAAAGGAAGACGGTGAGCTGCCCGCGAGTAAGAAGGACTTCCCTGCACTTTTTAGCTTAATTGTACAAAGGTAAGTCATCATTCACATACCTTTTTCACAGCAGCCATTTGGCCATGAAATTGTAGGGTAAACCACAATGATGTTACCAGTGATAGTAATTAAGGTTCTGCTCCCTGCAAAGGCTCTGCTACACTAAACGGAACGGGGCCTTAATTAGTATACTTCATCATCACATGGGTTTACCCTATTTCATGTCCAAATGGCTGCTGTGAAATGGGGTTTTTAGTTTAGCTTTTAGAGCAGTAACACAGCAGTGAATGAGCTGTTGTGCCTGTGGTTGACTGGAGCTGTGGTTGTCTCACTGACAGACATGAAGGGGAGACATGTGGAGGACAGTTTCATGGAGAAGGGGTCGCTTGGTTTAAAGGAGGACACACGTACAAGGTATGATTTAACATTTTAAAACCACTGGAAAGGACAATATATTTAATTTTACAACGCAATGCGTATTTTACGAATGCTTTAACCTATTGTAGAACATTAAAAAAAGAAGTCCATTAACTCAAATGAAAAATTGTATTTCTGATATATATTTAAATGTAATCATTTGTTGTACTCTTGTGTGTAAATAAAACTATATCATATAGTCACTGCTTTGTTTTTCTGAAGGGGATGTTTGCCAAGGGACTGATGGATGGACGAGGCGTCTTCACACATGCAAGTGGACTGAAATATGAGGTAGGGTAAAGTAAGGCTATAATAACGGTATACTGAGTGTTTCATAAGCAATTGTCAAAATAGTTTATAAAAACCAATGTGTACATAAGTTTCTAAATATGCATCCTGAGTGAAATAAACAATATACATATAACAGTTTGACAGGTGTAATAAATGTTCTTGACAGATCTTGAAGTGGATTTTTTTATCCAACAGGGAGAATTGGTGTGCAACATGCCCATGGGCCGTGGTACCTACACCTGGGCGGATGGCAGCTCCTATGAGGGGGAGGTGTACAATGGTATACGACACGGGACTGGAACCTACATATGTGCAAAAAGTGGTGTGGTATACAAAGGGGAGTGGGAGCGAGGCAAGAGGCACGGAAAGGTATAATCAATTAAATATCAAGTTTTAGTCTTTTAAAGATTTGTTTTTGTAGTAACGAGGTGAATTGGTTGTCTTTGTGTTAGGGTGCAGTGTATTATGACCAGGATCAGACCTCTTGGTACAAAGGAGACTGGGTGAAGAACAACAGAGAGGGACAGGGAGTGAGATGGTATGTATGGAGAACATAGTCTCATCTGTAGCCTCGGTTGCATTTGACCAAGTGACATCTGTGTCTTAACAGCTACCCCTCTGGTAACATTTACTCTGGTGAGTGGAAGAGCAACCTGAGACATGGAGAGGGCACCATGAGGTGGCTAAAACTGGGACAGCAGTATGTCGGCATGTGGCAGAATGGAGTCCAGGTATGAAGGTTATCCTGTAACATTATCTTAGCCCTCAACCAGACTACTGACATCAACATATCCAGCTGGTAACACTAAAAAAAGTAAAGCCCATGCCACAGTTTGTTTATTATATGCAGGACTGGAGCTTTTTACCCTCCTTGAAATGTTGAATGCTCTCTTCTCTGGCAGCATGGGCGAGGCACACAGGTCTGGATGCTGAGGCGAGTGGATGGATCCCAGTATTCCCAGAGCAATCAGTACACAGGGGAATTCGTTCAGGGTCAGAGGCACGGACAGGGAGCCTTTTACTACGCTGGTGGCGAGATCTATGAAGGGGAGTGGAAGAACAATAAAAAACACGGGAAGGTTAATCAGTCATACAGTACTGCCTCTCACAGTCAATACACATACATTTCCAAATTCAGTAAAATCCAGAGTGAAAAGCATCGGAGGCTCCTTGCTTAGAAGTAGCAAATGCTTTTTTACTAATGCTTTAGTTACTTGTAAGATTAACTTGAGAGCTTGTAAATGTGTTTTGCCACTTGTTGGACTCATTCAAATACTTCCTGTATTCACAACTCTACACACATAAGTAATCACAAAAAGTCTAAAAATGACTGAACTATATGGTTCATAGGGAAAATTTACTTTTAAGGATGGGCGTGTCTTTGAAGGAGAGTTTGTGGACGATCGGATGATGACACAAAGCCTGGACGGAAACAGAACTCCTGTTCATCTGTGTGGTAAACACCTACTATACATTAGCTCCGTTAAAAATGCTCAGCCTGCCATTAATGCTACAGTGGCTTACAATTTTATATCTTAAACAGATGCATTTCCTTTGTCAGATAGTGATTCATCCATCTTAGGACCAGACATGGCTCTGAGCATTAAATGTCTGTTGGATATGATCCCTGAGAGAGAGCGCAACACTGAGCGTAAACAGGTCAGGTCCCACTCCACACTGTGAAATCATTTCCCCACATCCTTATTTTCACCCCGGTCCAGCCTTGATGCTGTGGCTCATGTGTAACAGGTGGAGTTTATGGTGCTCATGCATGGCGTAGAGTTGAGGTCTGTCTACAGTTTCTACAGCAGACTTGGCCACGCCCACTCCCCAAATAATGTGTTCCTGCTGACCCGCCTGCAGCTCTGGCGCCTGCTCAAAGACTGCAACATCCACCATCATGACATCACTCTCACGCAGATTGACCATTTTATCAGAGGTGAGAAAGACTCACTCACAGTCTCTCTGACACACCTAATCCACCTCACATATACAGACATTGATAGCTTCATAATGGCAATATTTCTGGAGACGTTGACAGTCTGCTTAATGTTTACTGTCTGTGTGTCTCAGAGGATGCCGCTCCAGCAGAGATCCACTCTCCCTTCACTGCCATGCTCTTTCGTAAGCTCCTCAGCTGTCTAGTGGTTGTCGCCTACCACATCTACCATAAGGACATGGTGTAAGGGTGACTCTTACAATTTGGATGTAAACGTTTGTATCCTGATTTTAGTAGAGAAACATAACTTCTCTTCTTTTCATAGGTCACAGAAGAACCTTCTGGCTGCCTGTTTTTCCAAACTGATGACAGACAACATCCTCCCCAATGCTAAGAATGTAAAAGGTGGCAGCAATATAATACAGGCTCATGTGCACACATACATATTAGGACGACAGAGGAACCTGCAAACTGATTTCATACAGAAGCCTCAAAAGGGGGAATCGGGATAGCAAAATGATTATTTAATAAGATATTTGCAGGTTCCTCGCTTGTCTGGAGTTGTTGCGTGTTTTGCCTGAGATGACACCTACAGAACTGCTGCTGAGGCTCTATATTATGTAGTAATAGCTGTGCTCATTAACTGTGGATGTGTTGGTCCAGGATTCCTGTTCAAGCAGCCAGGCTTTACCGTGGTGTCTGTGAACTACTTAAATAAGTGCTGGGAAATCTACCAGGCTTACTGCAAAGTCAATGCAGCTCCCAGAGATGACCAGACCATGACCTGTCGACACATGCTGTGGATGTTCAAGGTGCAACAGACTGCAGAAGCAAAAGTTACCATGCATACAAACTACTACTTATTCATTGTTTTCCACTTAGCATAAGAAATGGATACAGTTTCTGTTGCTTGTTACTACAGCCCAGCCACAGGGTTGTCTAATTTTGAATGACTTGATGAAATAATTACATTTATTATGTTTGGTAACTCCTGCCAGGATCTCCATCTGCTGGACAATAACCTGACCACAGAGAGATTACTGGAGATCATCACTGCAGAGAGCCGTGACCCCAGCAACCTGTCCTCTAATGTGGATTTGGAGGTCTGCCTGCAGTGTTTACACCAGTGGTTTACACCCATTGACTCATTCATTACCGGTATGTCTCAGAGCCCATAAAAAAAATTCACCTGCTTTGTGTATTCCCACACTTTCTGCTGCAGATTACATTCCTGGAGTTTTTTGAGGTACTTCTGAGCTCTGCTGAGGTGAAGTGTCAGCGGGTTTCTGAAGGCCAATTGCTGTCCAACCCTGACGCAGGGGCCAGGAGGGATGTAGCTGAGGTAGAGAAAATCGTGTAGTCTACCATCAGCCCAATCGTCAGATCCTCTCACGACCTCTGCACCTATTACCTACTCCATGTAGAGTGCAGTGCAGATATATGCTATATGGTAAACATGTGAATTCTGCACAAGAAAACAAAACACAAGAGTTACTTCTATAGTTTCTTTCTATTCAGGTGGCAGCTCCAGTGAATTCCCCCATCCCTCCTGAAATCTCCAGCCCCAAGTCTGAAGAGGTTGGTTGCAACAGGCAATCTAGCATGCACAAAAATAAACACTTTTTTTTTTTTTTGCTAATGTTGAACCATAAATTCATGGTGTTGGCTGCAGCTTTGCAGTCATTTCACAGCCAGCTGGAGTTATCTGTTCTAGAAATTGCACATCCATCTTCATGTGAAAAAATAAGAAAGACATCCACATATTCAGTATTGTTACGCCCCTGCTGTTGATATTAATGAAATATGCTGTGAGTTTTATAATCATATTTTTGTATTTACATATTATCCTAGACAGAAAAATCAAGTGACACATTGGAATTATCCACTGTTCAGGACATGGAGAGTCAAGAAGATGTCAAAACTAAACTCACGGAGGATCCTCAGTTTGAAGGTTTGTTTTGTTGGTTTTTATTTATATGTATGAATCATAGAAGGTAAAGGGCTTAGCATTGCATTGACCATATAGAAACAAAGCTTGTTGTCATGCAGAGTGAATATGCACACATATACAAATAGATTTTAAGATGGGAATGAACATCTTTCTATGAGAGGCAATTTGTGTTGGCTACAAAATAATAATCCTCATGTATCACATTTCCTTTAGAGCACAGAGGTGAAACAAAGTGTGTCCAAACCAGAGGAATGGAGGCCAAAGACTGTAAACTGGAGCTTTGGATCCAAACAATCCATCAATTCTTCAACCATTTTTTCTTCCCGGCTTTTGAACATTATCAGCTGGTGTCTAGAAACACGAAGGAAGAAAAGCTCCGCCAGGAAGCCCAGAGACGCATCGCTCTGGCCAAAGCCCAACAAAGATCCAGGTAGTATCCAGGTTTATTCTTGTTGACAGTATTATGTAGTCAGTGGTTGGGTCAATATATTATGTATGTATGTATATACATCTTTACGGATATTTGACCAGGCACAATAGTTGTTTAGACTTGAGTAAACTAAGGAACCAAACTGCATTGCTGCCTTAATATTACAGTATTTAATTTGTAACATTCATACGGAGAATTCAAGCCAGACTCTGCTCTCTTGCACAGCCACCAGATGGCGCCCATCACTTTCCTTCATCTTAGCTTTCATTATAGCTCCTTTGCTTACATTGTGCCATCGATGTGTAGTACTCAGTGCTGTACTGTATTATGTTACAGGTAGAGGGGGCATTTGGAGGCTGGTGAGTGACAACATGATAAAGATGCAGTAACGTGGGCAGCATGCAGAGAAACCTGAGGAAATCACAATGAAGCCAGTTGTTGTATACCTGAACTATCCACACAGTCCAAAAAACAAAATGTCTTATAGTGATACAGTGAGTAATAAAAGCCTTGAGTGCAGTGCTGACTGGTCCTTGGATGTAAATGATGAGTACTGGCCATTTCCTTGTTGTAAGTAGAACTTTAATTAGACTGTGTTGTAACACAAAACTATTTCTCATTTTATCTAAAAAAAGTCAGAATCACTCATTTTTTTTTCTTTCAATGAAAGTAACAAAAGTAGTAAAGAAGTAAAAATTGAACATTTAAAAAGAAAATCTCTTCATCTAAAATCTACACATTAGAGAGGTGGTGTGAAGACCATAAGGTCACTCGGGCAGACAGACTGGCGTATCCGGTCCTTCAGGTCCGGGGTGAAGAGAAGGAGAGCGGACTCTGCTGCCTGGGCCTGAAAATACAAAAAGAATATTGATAAAGTAACAGTTAAGAGCCTATTGAAATCATTCAGTGTGGATTTAATAACAAAGTCAATAATTGGAAGCGATGAAATAAAAAAAAAAAATCAATGACCTGTGGTGACCGAAGAGCTAACATTGAAGACACCGCTGGCAGTGGTGTGACTGTGAGAAATGAACATAACAGTGAGTAAAGCCAAATGTGCATCGGTAACATCCATTTAAAATAAACCCATGCTAGTAGAAAGCTTAGTGTGGTTACTCCCGTAAAACCAGTCAAGTTGCAGCATGCAGGTCTGATATTTAAAGATTGACGATTTATTAAAGAAACATTAGTACCAGACTCAAATTCCTTCAATATAAATTCTAGTTTAGCTCATTTCAAACTAAATTCAATACAGAAACCCTGCTTACTGCAGCTTCAGTATGCATTAGTGTTGTTATGGTATGAAACCCAAGGTGTACAGTATGTACATGCACAGTACCTATGGGCATCAGTCATACCTGCTTCTTGCCGAGTAAGCAGGTCCTCAGATTGACCTATGGGACTCTCCATTTCTACATCCACTGCCATGGGTGAGAGTGTCTCTACGGCAACAGTCTCCCTCGGTGACAGGCTGCATCTCTGTGACGGCTGGAGGTAGCGCTCAAAGTCCAATCCAGGAATTTCCTGAAATTAAAAGGACAATGACTTGTTTATTGTATAGCAAGACAAAACAACTGGGATCATAGCTTTTAAGAGACGGTGTCCTATGAGGCTGAGTATACGGAAACAGGACTCTAGTGAAGCCTGAAAATGTGTTTACCTCAACAACCGAGCTGTCTGGTGTGTTACACACAGACTCTTGGGGTTCCAGAGGGCCCTGCACAGCGGAAGGACAGGAGATGGGAGGCCGGCTGGGAGTCACACAGGGTGACAGTGTGAAACTCAGACATGATGAGGGCTCAGGGACCTGGGAGACAGGAAGAGGTGTTTTGCAGGGAGAGAGGGAAAGTCTTGGAGACAGAGGTAGGTCATCGACTGCTGGTTCGTCTTGCTCCTCGACTACAGAAATGGATGGAAGTGAATGTACAGGTGTGGCTGTCCTCAATTCAGGAGCAGTGTTTTCTTGTGTGGCGACTGTTTCTGACTGGCGTGCAGGGCTTCCCTCAACCTGGGAATCCTCTGAAAGCACTTCCTTGACAGGTGAGAAACAAAGAGAGACATTCACAGTGTCCGTGCTGGCCTGGGATGACTGAGGAGTTCCACGCAGAGACTTTGGTGCTTGCGCTGGGGTTTGGCTGAGGGTAAGACGGAGTTGGGCAGGAGAGGCAGTGGCGTGAACGGGGGTCTGTGCCAGCGCAAGGGATCGTCGAGTGACTCTTCTGGGTGAGAGGTAGTTGGCGCAGGGAGAGGCCTGAGGCAGCACGGCGGCGCTGAGACGGCTGGATCTCCTCACTGCACCTACAACCACACATCATGTACGACATTGTTACAAAACCAAAACTTATAGGTGAAACAGCAGGGGAGAGTACACCAGCAGACACATATGGCGTGAAAAGCAAGCCCTTTGGCGAGCAGTTATTCAGCAGTCACCTGATAGTTTGGCTGGGCTCTCCACCTGGAAGAAACCTCCATCAAAGACCACAGACTCGGTCGGTTGAGGCTCTGCTTGGGGTTGTGGTTCCTGAGAGTGCGGGCTGGGTTCGTCCTCATCGTTACCAGCACCCTGTGCTGCTTTTTCGGCCTCAGCCGCCTGCTGTCTGGCTTTCATTGCTGCTTTCACGGCAGCCAGGCGAGACTTTGCTGCTGCTTTGGTTCCTGTGGGCTTAGCGGGTGCAGCTGTTGGTTTCTGTCAAAGGGACCAGACGGGCACAATGTCAATATTGTGATTGTGTATTTTTCCCCTAAGAAGAGCAACCAGACCTATAATACACAGTCACTTATATTAAAATGGAGAAATCATTATGTCGTTAGATTGGTAGTACATGTAATCATATAGTCCATTCACCTTCACCAGTTTCTTCTGGCGCGGTGCAGGCTTGTGCTCCTCTACCCAGCCTCGGCTCTCTGCTTCCTTGAGAGCGTTAAACTTCCTGAGGACATCCTCGACCTGAAAGATGTACAAAATATTTAGCCTTCTACTCATATGGTTTGTGTCTGAAACATTGTGTTGTTCCACTCTTGAGGCACTTGCCTGGTAATAAACCATGTCCCAGAATCCCTGCAGGTCAGTGCAGGTGGTGATCTTCTCCCCTCGGCCCAGCTCGCAGTCGTCCACCAGACCACTGAACTGGTTAAAGCGCTCTTTTATCAACAGCCTCGCTTGTCCGACTGCTGTGCGCATGCGGTCTCTCACTAAACAGAGAAGAGCGGGAAAGATAATTGTAGATTTCCCCTAATTAGGAAAACAGCGCCCTCTTTAGCAGTGAATTAAATATACACATGTTCAGGATGCAGAGAAGATAATCTCACTCTCTTCTGGGATGGAGTCATCTTCCACTTTAGGCTCCCAGTGGACACACAGAGTCGTCAGTTTGTCTGTCTCATTCGCAATTTCTGATCTGAATAATATAGGGGGAAAAAGCGTTTTAAAACTTTGACATACTTCGACAAAAAGAGGTAAAGAAGACTTTTTTTTTTTTTTTAAACGGTATGCCACCTGAAGTATGGTACATCATGCTTTGATTCCAGGGGACTGCCTGTCAGAGGGGCCACTGTGGGAGATGTACGACGCGGAGATTTAGGGGGAGATTGTTTGCTTGGCTCAGCCTGGGGCTCAATGTTGAACACAGGAGCTGGTGGAAGGCTGAAGCTGGGGCTAGGTAGCAAGAATGACAACATGCATTGAGACAGGAAACAACTCGTGTTTTATCGTACAAATTTTCCTAGAGACTCCAAAGACAAAAGCCTCTGGTACCGTATCACTTAATATCTCCATAATTGTGCTGATATGCAGCAATATTAAAACTTTCCAGCGCTTCAAACATCTTCAACAAGTAGTAAAACAAACAAGAGGGAAAATAGACAAACCTTGGTGTAAGGAAGGCGTCTGCTGAGCGAGGAGTGAGAGGCTCGAACTTGAAGGATGACAAGCCAGTGGGAGCCTGGAAGATGAAATCCTTGGGAGCAAAAGAAGATGGTGCTTTCACAGGATCCACAGCAGGGATTGGGTCAGCCGGAGCTTGGTCCACCACCATGTCTTCCTCCTCAGAACAGGGTGTCGGGCTGGGGAGATGAGGTCTTTCCTCCGGCTCCTTCAGCTCAGGCTCCTACACAAGACAGACAGACAAATTGATCAACAAGTTACTGGTAGAGAGGTAATCGCTGGTCAAACAGTGTGTAAAACTCACAGAAGTATTCACCTTAGGCACAGCAGGCTGGACGATGACAGTTTCTGTACAAAAGTAGAAATGTAAACAAATTAAAGCAAATGTTTGTGTTCACATGGAAAAATAAAACGGATCTTTGTCACCATTGAAGGATACCTTTACAGTTCCTTTCTCCATCAGAAGGGGGGGCCACAGTGTTGACAAATGCTCTGCTCCTTGTGGTTCTTACATCTGAGGGTGAGAGGAGGCATTTATTATTACGCGAGGTTTTATCGAATATTGTCTCTCTGTTGTTGTGATGTAGCATCTCCTGTGCTTTTATGCCACAATGACAATTTTTTTTTAAAACTGCTTCAGCTATGGCCTTGGCTCAGTCTGTACCTGCAGATTTGTCCTTAGGTTTGTCTTTCACTGTAGCAGCTTCTGTAACAGGAGGCCTGTTGGCTGATCTGGTTGACAAAGCCCGTACGACAGGCTCCACTACAGCAGGATGGCATGACACAGGGACACAGATTGAGATGCAAATAAGGAAACACAATAGGGTGAAATCAAGATGATAGTCTGTCTCAAGGTCCAGTTATATGCAAGGATTTTTTTTTTTTCTTATGAGTTACCTGTACAAACTTTGGTCTTGGTCTTAGCTGGTTCAGGCTTGACGGGAGCTACTCGGCTCCTGGTTGATCTTTCCACAGGAGGTTGAGCTATAGGAGGAATGACAGGTCAGATCTAAAATGCACCAGGTTGCAGATGACTGTATACTTCATTTACAATTGAGGGACGGTCAATTAAATGTACCTTTTGTGGCCGCAGTGTTTGGATCCTGCATCTTCAGAGGCTGGTGAAATGGAAAGGAAAGTGATGCAACAAAGGGCATGTTAGCTTTTAGTGTAATGGAAGTTATTATGACAACAGGAGAAAGATATCTCAGAGAAAGACAGTAGTACCTTCTGCACTTGCTGCGGTTGTTTCATCGAACGAGTGACTCTGGTACTCTGGGATGGAGCAGCGTTCAGTTTTGTCTGAAAGACAAGCAAAAATTACATGATGATAATCTGAGTCATTCACCTGGGGTACATATCCATAGTCAATAGTGTAAAGTAGTCTTTTTATCAGTTTTTCCTCACCTCCTTAGCTCTGGTTGAGGCAGCTGGGACTGCAGGCAGAGAGACAACAATAAGGGTGTCCTTTGGATGATACACGCCAGTCTTAAAAACCCCTTTACGCTCCTTTTCTCTCTTATCCTTCTCCTTCTCAAGAGCCTTACGCTCTTTCCAGCGCTCAAGCTGTTTCAGCCTCTCTTCAACAGCCACATCTGTGGATGAAAAAACACAAATTAGCTCGAATGATGGGCACAAGAAAGTAACCAGATGATCACTGAGATCTTTTCTAAACAAAGGCCTGCTAGCCAATGTAAAAGCACTGAAGAGAGATGTAAGAGGTTGGAGTTGTAGCTGTGATGGAAAATGAACACGCCTTACTTTTAGCAAGTTTTGTATTGTTCATCGTCTTCTCGTGAATGGTTGACATGTTGGCCATCGCAATGGAGGCATCCAGGGAAGACATTTCCAGCTCCGGGAGCTTGTCTAGCTGCCTGCGTGTGTTCATGGCCCGATCTCGGTTCTCCTTCTGGGACTGAGACCTCCTTCGTGACATTTTTACCCTCAGCATCGACACACTTGTGTCCCGCTGTCGCAGGTGAGCAAATCGAGACTCCATGTTCAGATATCTGCAATAATAAAGAAGAAGAACAGAAGATGAGGTGTTAGACTGTAGGTACACTGCATATGACAGTTATTAGAGGTATCAAGGTACATTATATGGGATTTTGTAGTAGTCATGCCAACTGGCACAACAATGAGAAACTAAAAAGGGTCTAACTAAAAAGGGTCTAAATAAAAAATGAGAGGAATTAGAAAGTTGTAATGAATAACAGTCATATCTGTTTTGTACTGTGATCTGCTGTAACAACTCATCTGGTATCAGGTGACTGTGGAAAGGAATTACACAATAACAAAACAAAGGGCTTTAACTGACTATTGTTTTATTTAGTCAAAAAA